AAACCTAGTTCATGAGACCGTTAAGCGATACTTATAACCGATATGCATTTACTGTAAAAATGAAAATCTTTATCATAACTTAGAATCTGGAAAATTACAAACTTGAACACAGGACTGTTAAAATGCTCAAGTGGAGACTCTCCTCCGGCTCCAGGCTGCTCTCGTCTCTGTGCAGGTATCACCGGTGATTGACTATTATTCCTCGTATGACCTCTAGCCAATCAGATGGTGATGAGTGGGCGGGACATTGGGTGAGACTGAGTGGTGAGTGAAAACAGACACAGAGGGAGAGGCACACCTGCAGCTGAGCAAAAGCAGCATAACTTTGAATTAATTAATTCTATCAGTGATCTGAAAAATGAAATGCTGAAACAGATAATCAACCAAATATCAAATATCAGCCCCCGATAATCGGCCAGGAGGCTAATCGGTCGAACCCTAGTTTCAACTTCAACATGAAGTTAAAACTTATAGCGATGTGATAAGATGTCTTCAGTTTAAAGAAATAAAACCAACAATTGGTGTGGACCAGTTTTACGTTTGATGAACTCTGACAGAAATCCAAAATGAATCATGAAAAAACTTTGCTCTAACTTTTTATATTTCATTTCTTATTCTAAACTTCTTAAACCTGTGGATCAAAAAATGCTTAGTTCATATTTTATATATATATATTTTTTTAAATGATCAGATACTGGAAAAATATATAAAAAAAGGAAATAATAAAGTTTTTTTTTTCTAATGGAGAGTCCAACTTCTATATTCCTAAGAAGATGATAACCATGGTTTGGCGGGCCCTCCCCATCAGACTGGGCCCCACAAAGCGTACCTCTTTATCCCCTCTTACGGGCGGACTGAACTGTCCTATACGATATTTTATTTATGAACTCAAATAAAAAGAAAGGATGATTTCATTGTTTTAATTTAAGTATGACTCTGCAATTTTATCCTTTTTTTAATAGAACTCATCTAATATTTTAGCTTCTGTTTTTAAATGCTGTTTTTTCTTATTTTATTTCATTTTAATGAATGATTATAACAATTTTTGGATTTCTAAGTTGCAGTGGGTGAGAGTTAGGCTTAATGTGGTATTTCTGTATTTCTTTTGGATCTTATTCTATTTCTTTTTTTTCCACATTTTATCATATTTAATGTTCTCTGTGATTGTTTTAGCTTCAATTCTAACGACTCTTTTTCTCTTTGTCACGCTGCTTCTGATGTCTCTGTAAACAGAGCGGGGTCACTCATGTTTCAAAGTAACGATGTATTCTGTGAAGCTGAAGACTGATGACCACTTCAATGTTTCATCCGTGGATATGATAGGAATAACATTTGCGATATTATAATAGTATTACTGTTTGAACTTCCTGTTAAAGGTGATTTGGCATGTTTTGAGCTTTATACTTCACATCTGGGACATTTTTAAAAATACTTAATTCACTGCTACCTCATTCTGTTCTTTTTACCTCCTGAGTTTAACTGTCATCAGAACTTTGTTTTCATTATGTCTTAAAGACACAGGGATCGATTTGAAGTAAAATTACAAACACAATTAAGTTGTTGAATTTGTTTGTTGTTTTATTTGTTTTTGAGACAAAAACAAAAAGGTTCTCCATAAAAGCTCCACATGAGTCGGTCTTCCGTCACAGCTCTCTAGTGGTACTGTCTGCCCAGAGAGGAGACCACCACAGCTAGAAACTTCTGGAACGCAGCCTGGACCTCACCAGTGAATTCCTTGCCCCACTGAGCAGCAACCACGATGGTGAGGCAGTCAGACAGCAGCTGCAACACAACAAACATCAGAAAACATGAGCAACAAGAAAGCTGAGGCGTCTCAATAGTGTCATTATTTTCACCACTTTACCTTGAAGTTGTCGGGGTCCACGTGCAGCTTCTCGGAGTGCAGCACGCTCAGCTCGGCGTAGGTCTCCTTGATGTTGTCCATGTTCTTCATGGCTCTGTCCATACCGTGCAGGATTGTTGTCCCATGTTTTGCAACCAATGGGTTTGCAATGATAGCAGCAGCGTTGTAGAGGTTACCGAAGTTTCCAAAGTACCTCTGAGTCCAAGGATAGACGACCAAACACCTGAGGAAACATGTCGAAATGTCTCGGGGTTAGATTAAGAGCAGAAATTTGTGGTCTTAAGAAGAGAACTGAAATCTAAAATAATACAAATAAGAAACAAGAATGTCTGACCTGGAAAGAGCTCTGGGGCCCACGACATCATAGTCGATCTTAGAAAAGATGTCCATGATGGTGGCACGCTCGAAGTCTGTCCATTCAACCATGATGTCGGCTTTGGAGTTCTCTGTGTGGGTCAGTAGATCCTGCTCTCTCTGACATCAGCCGCAACTTTTAAAGCGACCCTTCTCCCCGCCCACAGCGAGTGATTGGACGAGAATTGGGCAGGACAACATCTGCATTGACGATTTTTTAGCTCTGATAAGACAAGGGCGCATCTGCACCGCTTAGATTATCTCTGACGCCGAGGAAGAAAACCTCACGGCCTCAAAGAGACCACGCAAACAACAACGCATTATCGTGGACTTCATCTCCCAACCCGTCATCTTCAGGGTGTGCCCACGCTCTCTTTAGGGTATAAAAGCTCCACAGTTGGGACTCGTCAGTACAGTCGACAACAGTCAAACAAAGGCAAGATGACCAGTCTCACTGAAAAGGACAAGGCCACAGTCAGAGCCTTCTGGGACAAAGTGTCCTCGAAGTCCGAGGACATCGCACCGATGCTCTAGCCAGGTAATTATTTTGAAAAACTGGCTGATGCAACTTTATTTTTTATTCTTGTACATCGCAATGAATGTTTTGTTTTCCTCCAGGATGCTGACGGTGTACCCCCAGACCAAGACCTACTTTGCCCACTGGAAGGACCAGAGCCCCAACTCCCCCTCTGCCAAGAAGCACGGAATCACTGTGATGGGTGGAGTCGGCTTAGCTGTGTCCAAGATTGACGATCTTAAAGCAGGTCTGCTGAACCTGAGTGAGCTGCACGCCTTCACTCTGCGTGTGGACCCCGCCAACTTCAAGGTACACAGCCAGAAAAGATTCAAACATCCGGTCATCTTTTCAAAGTTTTCTACTTATTCAGGGGACATTTCCACTTGCTTGTATGTCATCTATTTGATTACCTTCTTTTCACAGATTATCTCCCACTGCATCCTTGTGGTCTTGGCCATCATGTTCCCCCAGGACTTCACCCCTGAGGTCCACGTCTCCATGGACAAGTTCCTGGCCTGTTTGGCCATGGCCCTGGCTGAGAAATACAGATAAACAGCAGGAGAAGATGAGAGAGGCTGCAGCCTGAGTTCACAGTGCATAATGATGAATAAATGCATGAACAAAGCATCTAAGTTGTAGTGTGTTTGATTTCTGTCACATGTGATATCACATCATTAGAGATGCAACATATAGACTACTTGTGGATTCACTGTTTTATACAAACAAACTCAATCAGAAACATTTCTTACAGTCATACATTTTTGTAGTTTTAAAAGTTTGAAACTCTGGAGAAGCACGAAACCTAGTTCATGAGACCGTTAAGCGATACTTATAACCGATATGCATTTACTGTAAAAATGAAAATCTTTATCATAACTTAGAATCTGGAAAATTACAAACTTGAACACAGGACTGTTAAAATGCTCAAGTGGAGACTCTCCTCCGGCTCCAGGCTGCTCTCGTCTCTGTGCAGGTATCACCGGTGATTGACTATTATTCCTCGTATGACCTCTAGCCAATCAGATGGTGATGAGTGGGCGGGACATTGGGTGAGACTGAGTGGTGAGTGAAAACAGACACAGAGGGAGAGGCACACCTGCAGCTGAGCAAAAGCAGCATAACTTTGAATTAATTAATTCTATCAGTGATCTGAAAAATGAAATGCTGAAACAGATAATCAACCAAATATCGAATATCAGCCCCCGATAATCGGCCAGGAGGCTAATCGGTCGAACCCTAGTTTCAACTTCAACATGAAGTTAAAACTTATAGCGATGTGATAAGATGTCTTCAGTTTAAAGAAATAAAACCAACAATTGGTGTGGACCAGTTTTACGTTTGATGAACTCTGACAGAAATCCAAAATGAATCATGAAAAAACTTTGCTCTAACTTTTTATATTTCATTTCTTATTCTAAACTTCTTAAACCTGTGGATCAAAAAATGCTTAGTTCATATTTTATATATATATATTTTTAAATGATCAGATACTGGAAAAATATATAAAAAAGGAAATAATAAAGTTTTTTTTTTCTAATGGAGAGTCCAACTTCTATATTCCTAAGAAGATGATAACCATGGTTTGGCGGGCCCTCCCCATCAGACTGGGCCCCACAAAGCGTACCTCTTTATCCCCTCTTACGGGGGGACTGAACTGTCCTATACGATATTTTATTTATGAACTCAAATAAAAAGAAAGGATGATTTCATTGTTTTAATTTAAGTATGACTCTGCAATTTTATCCTTTTTTTAATAGAACTCATCTAATATTTTAGCTTCTGTTTTTAAATGCTGTTTTTTCTTATTTTATTTCATTTTAATGAATGATTATAACACATTTTTGGATTTCTAAGTTGCAGTGGGTGAGAGTTAGGCTTAATGTGGTATTTCTGTATTTCTTTTGGATCTTATTCTATTTCTTTTTTTTCCACATTTTATCATATTTAATGTTCTCTGTGATTGTTTTAGCTTCAATTCTAACGACTCTTTTTCTCTTTGTCACGCTGCTTCTGATGTCTCTGTAAACAGAGCGGGGTCACTCATGTTTCAAAGTAACGATGTATTCTGTGAAGCTGAAGACTGATGACCACTTCAATGTTTCATCCGTGGATATGATAGGAATAACATTTGCGATATTATAATAGTATTACTGTTTGAACTTCCTGTTAAAGGTGATTTGGCATGTTTTGAGCTTTATACTTCACATCTGGGACATTTAAAAAAAATACTTAATTCACTGCTACCTCATTCTGTTCTTTTTACCTCCTGAGTTTAACTGTCATCAGAACTTTGTTTTCATTATGTCTTAAAGACACAGGGATCGATTTGAAGTAAAATTACAAACACAATTAAGTTGTTGAATTTGTTTGTTGTTTTATTTGTTTTTGAGACAAAAACAAAAAGGTTCTCCATAAAAGCTCCACATGAGTCGGTCTTCCGTCACAGCTCTCTAGTGGTACTGTCTGCCCAGAGAGGAGACCACCACAGCTAGAAACTTCTGGAACGCAGCCTGGACCTCACCAGTGAATTCCTTGCCCCACTGAGCAGCAACCACGATGGTGAGGCAGTCAGACAGCAGCTGCAACACAACAAACATCAGAAAACATGAGCAACAAGAAAGCTGAGGCGTCTCAATAGTGTCATTATTTTCACCACTTTACCTTGAAGTTGTCGGGGTCCACGTGCAGCTTCTCGGAGTGCAGCACGCTCAGCTCGGCGTAGGTCTCCTTGATGTTGTCCATGTTCTTCATGGCTCTGTCCATACCGTGCAGGATTGTTGTCCCATGTTTTGCAACCAATGGGTTTGCAATGATAGCAGCAGCGTTGTAGAGGTTACCGAAGTTTCCAAAGTACCTCTGAGTCCAAGGATAGACGACCAAACACCTGAGGAAACATGTCGAAATGTCTCGGGGTTAGATTAAGAGCAGAAATTTGTGGGCTTAAGAAGAGAACTGAAATCTAAAATAATACAAATAAGAAACAAGAATGTCTGACCTGGAAAGAGCTCTGGGGCCCACGACATCATAGTCGATCTTAGAAAAGATGTCCATGATGGTGGCACGCTCGAAGTCTGTCCATTCAACCATGATGTCGGCTTTGGAGTTCTCTGTGTGGGTCAGTAGATCCTGCTCTCTCTGACATCAGCCGCAACTTTTAAAGCGACCCTTCTCCCCGCCCACAGCGAGTGATTGGACGAGAATTGGGCAGGACAACATCTGCATTGACGATTTTTTAGCTCTGATAAGACAAGGGCGCATCTGCACCGCTTAGATTATCTCTGACGCCGAGGAAGAAAACCTCACGGCCTCAAAGAGACCACGCAAACAACAATGCATTATCGTGGACTTCATCTCCCAACCCGTCATCTTCAGGGTGTGCCCACGCTCTCTTTAGGGTATAAAAGCTCCACAGTTGGGACTCGTCAGTACAGTCGACAACAGTCAAACAAAGGCAAGATGACCAGTCTCACTGAAAAGGACAAGGCCACAGTCAGAGCCTTCTGGGACAAAGTGTCCTCGAAGTCCGAGGACATCGGCACCGATGCTCTAGCCAGGTAATTATTTTGAAAAACTGGCTGATGCAACTTTATTTTTTATTCTTGTACATCGCAATGAATGTTTTGTTTTCCTCCAGGATGCTGACGGTGTACCCCCAGACCAAGACCTACTTTGCCCACTGGAAGGACCAGAGCCCCAACTCCCCCTCTGCCAAGAAGCACGGAATCACTGTGATGGGTGGAGTCGGCTTAGCTGTGTCCAAGATTGACGATCTTAAAGCAGGTCTGCTGAACCTGAGTGAGCTGCACGCCTTCACTCTGCGTGTGGACCCCGCCAACTTCAAGGTACACAGCCAGAAAAGATTCAAACATCCGGTCATCTTTTCAAAGTTTTCTACTTATTCAGGGGACATTTCCACTTGCTTGTATGTCATCTATTTGATTACCTTCTTTTCACAGATTATCTCCCACTGCATCCTTGTGGTCTTGGCCATCATGTTCCCCCAGGACTTCACCCCTGAGGTCCACGTCTCCATGGACAAGTTCCTGGCCTGTCTGGCCATGGCCCTGGCTGAGAAATACAGATAAACAGCAGGAGAAGATGAGAGAGGCTGCAGCCTGAGTTCACAGTGCATAATGATGAATAAATGCATGAACAAAGCATCTAAGTTGTAGTGTGTTTGATTTCTGTCACATGTGATATCACATCATTAGAGATGCAACATATAGACTACTTGTGGATTCACTGTTTTGTACAAACAAACTCAATCAGAAACATTTCTTACAGTCATACATTTTTGTAGTTTTAAAAGTTAGAAACTCTGGAGAAGCAGAGTCGGGTTATCTGGCATAACTTCACAAAACTACCAAGATGCATGAAGAGTGAAAGAGGTCAGAAAGCTCCAACAGCACTTGTAGTATGAAGTTACCTTTATTAACTCCATAAAACGGACACGTTTCAGCTTGTGGCCTTCATCAGGGTCATCATGAGTTAGAAACTACAAACATTTTTGGGTACAACTTCTCCAATGTGAGACTTTTGCTCCTTCTCTCTGTTCCTCTGATCAGATGAAACACTTGAAGGTGTTATTACCTTAGAGACTAAACTATCAATTGATTTTTTTTATTTTTATTCAGCGTAATATTTAGCCCCATTGGTATAGCAGGCCCCCCATGTACAGAGGTTACAGTCCTCGTCGCTCTGGTCCACAGGTTTCACTCACAAACCTGTCACTGTTTGGTAGAGCTGGCTATTGTCCACAACCTCACAATTCAATTAGATTTGGATTCTTTGGGTCACGATTCAACATCGATTTAATAATATATACTGATGACAGGAATACCCAGAGAACTCATCACAGAACCTTCTGATATTTGTTAAATAATTATGGGTGCATTGTTTGTATAGGTTTAGAACAAACTGACTCAAAAATGTATTCGATCGTGGCATTATTCTTTATTCTAATAAACAAATAATCACATTACAAAAACATTACAGTACAGTATGATCTAAAGTGCACATTTGTGACTGACCTGAATTCACAGCACCCCCAGTGCCCCCAGTGGAGAAGGCTGTCATTACAACAAAAACAATCGATCTCAAGATTTCCCTGAATCGATATTGAATTGAGAAAATAATAATTGCAATGCATTGATGGATCAATTTTTTTAACCTGCCCTACTGTTTGGTGGATGACCTCCTCTCTAACCCAACCATAAATCACATCTGGGACATTTTTTTAAAATACTTAATTCACTGCTACCTCATTCTGTTCTTTTTACCTCCTGAGTTTAACTGTCATCAGAACTTTGTTTTCATTATGTCTTAAAGACACAGGGATCGATTTGAAGTAAAATTACAAACACAATTAAGTTGTTGAATTTGTTTGTTGTTTTATTTGTTTTTGAGACAAAAACAAAAAGGTTCTCCATAAAAGCTCCACATGAGTCGGTCTTCCGTCACAGCTCTCTAGTGGTACTGTCTGCCCAGAGAGGAGACCACCACAGCTAGAAACTTCTGGAACGCAGCCTGGACCTCACCAGTGAATTCCTTGCCCCACTGAGCAGCAACCACGATGGTGAGGCAGTCAGACAGCAGCTGCAACACAACAAACATCAGAAAACATGAGCAACAAGAAAGCTGAGGCGTCTCAATAGTGTCATTATTTTCACCACTTTACCTTGAAGTTGTCGGGGTCCACGTGCAGCTTCTCGGAGTGCAGCACGCTCAGCTCGGCGTAGGTCTCCTTGATGTTGTCCATGTTCTTCATGGCTCTGTCCATACCGTGCAGGATTGTTGTCCCATGTTTTGCAACCAATGGGTTTGCAATGATAGCAGCAGCGTTGTAGAGGTTACCGAAGTTTCCAAAGTACCTCTGAGTCCAAGGATAGACGACCAAACACCTGAGGAAACATGTCGAAATGTCTCGGGGTTAGATTAAGAGCAGAAATCTGTGGGCTTAAGAAGAGAACTGAAATCTAAAATAATACAAATAAGAAACAAGAATGTCTGACCTGGAAAGAGCTCTGGGGCCCACGACATCATAGTCGATCTTAGAAAAGATGTCCATGATGGTGGCACGCTCGAAGTCTGTCCATTCAACCATGATGTCGGCTTTGGAGTTCTCTGTGTGGGTCAGTAGATCCTGCTCTCTCTGACATCAGCCGCAACTTTTAAAGCGACCCTTCTCCCCGCCCAAAGCGTGTGATTGGACGAGAAGTAGGCAGGACAACATCTGCATTGAGGATTTTTTAGCTCTGATAAGACAAGGGCGCATCTGCACCGCTTAGATTATCTCTGACACCGAGGAAGAAAACCACTTCCCCTTCCAACCCCCCCTCACACACACACACATAACTTTGGTATCCTATCAAAGAACCTCCAGGCATAAACTTAAACACTGATGAGAACCAAAATATGACACACAGGGGTATTTCCTACCAGTGGCTGTCAAACTGTACAACTCTTTATGAAGAGTTATTATGAAATATATCATTATGAAATATGAGGCTATATAAAAGTTTAGTATCATGTAAAAGATTAAGTTGAATTTCAGAGGACATGCACAGTATTCTGATCCATTACACTCATCCATAACATGTGAAACATTACTTTAACTTAATGGGCAATATCAATATTTTTCAAACCTCTCATCGTTACTAGAATGCTACTGTCACTTTAAGAGCCAATACTACTCATTTAACTTGGTTTACTTTAGTTTGTATGAACTTCTATTGTTGGTTAGGTGGGAACTGGGTTGGGTCTGTTTGTCTATGGTTTAATTGGTGGCTTGTATAATATTTTTTTGCCCAGTTTGTTGTGGAATCAGATTTTTTCAAAGAATAAATACACCAAAAAGAACGAGAATTTTGAGAAGTCAAGTGAAGTTTCCAGAAGGTTCACAGTCCCCATTAGAGGGTTTGTTATTTATCTCATTGAGGCTCCACATGAAGGTGGGACGCCTTGTGTTGGTCTATCTTTGAGGAGGGTCTCTCTCGATGTGTCTCAGCTCTGTTACGCACATAAAGACCGTCAACATGTTGGGCTTCAGCAGCTCAGAATCAACATCAGACAGCACTGTTCATTAGAAAGTGGTTGAATGCTAACATTTACCTCAACTAACAGCTCATTAGTCATAAACATGTTCAACATTAAACACTAATCAGCTCATTTTTGACTGAGTATGCTGACTCACACATTCAGTTTGTTTTATACTCACTTAGAGGTGTAATAATCAAACCAAGAAAATAACTTCACAATAGCAATAAAACCAAATTCCCTTTAAATTATCATTGTAATATCTTAAGCTTAGAGGATTTTAAATAATTTGAATATGCTTCCTTTATGTTTCAGGTTTGCCAGGTTCATATTGGGTCATCCATATATGGTATTATTAATGGCAAATTTCCTGGCTACGACATAACACCCAATAAAAGTAAATGGGAAACAGACCTAGGTCATGTGTATGATGAGGAGGATTGGCAACGTCTCTTAGAGCAATCACAGACTGTATTAATCTCCAGGAAACACAGGCAAATTCAATTCAACATACTCCACACAACATATTATACACTCCATAGGTTAAATAAAATTGACAGCAATGTATCACCTATGTGTCAGAGATGCAAAATAACTGAAGGTGATCTTCTTCACATGTTTTGGAGTTGTTCCGTGTTAGAATCTTTTTGGAAGCAAACCATAACATTGACTAAAAGATAATAGGATACAAAGCAGAGCAGGACCCAAAACTTTGGATATTGGGGGATATGAGCCCTGTCAATACGTTCCATTATAAACAATATTTTATCTTACTTGCTAGCACTGCAGCAAAGAAATCTATTTTAACTCAATGGAAATCTGAAGAGCCACCGTCAACGAGACATTGGATAAATGAACTGGTGTCCTACTGCACTCCTGAAAAAATATTATATAATGTAAGGAGAAAACCTGAAACCTTTAATAAAATCTGGGGTCCCTTTCTCAACATTTTGCCTTCTTTAGAGCAGGATGGCCATAAAAGTGCAACTCTTCCTAGACCAACTCAAAGTTAATCACCTGAATTAAGCCAAATGTGAATATGTGTGGACACAAGTACACGTAGATAAAGGAAAGAAAATAGAGAGCCATACTAGGGAGAAGGGTGGGATATGGGAGGACGGGTGAGGGGATTTGTTTCAGTTTTTTTTGTTTGTTTGTTTTTTTATCATTACTTAATTATACAATAATAGCAATTGTTACAATTAGACATATTACAAGTGAATAGACACTGGATTTGTTTGTTCTTTCTCTTATTTCTTTCTCAATCATTACTTTGCATATGTACTATTATTGTAATTATTGTTATTACAATTATTGATGCTGTTGTTAATAGTATTATTATTAGTATAGTTGTGATATACTTATATTATGACTATATAGAATTGCCTAATTGATATAGTGGTGTATTGGAAGTACACTTGCTAAATCTATTTAAGTATATACATCTAGATTTTCTCTGGTTATTCATATATTATTATCATTATTATTTCTTTATATGTTTTTGTGTCTGTTTGAAACACACCACAAAATGTTCATGTTGACAGTGGATTTGCTTGTAAAGTTTATGTTTTCCTAATAAACAAATCTTTAAAAAAAAAAAAAAGGTTCATATTGGTACCAAAGCTGCCACTAGAGGGGGCTGTGAGGTGTATAAATGGTGTACTACATCAGGAAAATCTTTACTGTCAGTAAAAAGAAGAAAACTATTTAAATGGCCACTTGTATTTTGACTGTTGGTGCTGATATGTTCACACCTATGGTTCACACCTATCTCACCGGTGGTTTGTCAAGACATTGTTGACTGGTATGAGGGACAAAAAATGACTTAAGTATAAATAAATAAATAAATGTTGGAAGAAATGCACACAAAAATGTATATAAATAAATAAATAATTCAATAAATGCATCAATAAATATATAAATGCTGAAAACAATACATCAATGAATAAATAATAAATACACTTTGTTAATGAAAAAGGCTATTTATATATTTTTACATGTATTTATTCATTTATTAGCATATTTCTACAGTTATATATGTATCAACGCATACATTTCCACATTAATTGAGTTATTAATTTATTTCCGTATTTTTACATTTATACATCTATTTATTTTTGTGTCCAGGTTGTAAGAGGAAAAGTATTTATGTAAATTTGCTTCTGTCTGTTTTTCAAAATTGACCAATCCTACTTCAGTAATGTTAGGACGGCCCACTTAATTTACATATTTAGTTTTCCTTGTACAACATGGGCACAGAAATACATAAATAAATATAAGAATATATTTATTGAACATTTAATATTAATATTATATTATTATATTAATGAATTAATTATATTATTAATAATAATAATAATAATAATAATATTATATTATTATATTAATATTTTATTAATATATTGATTTAATAAATATATGAATATATTTTTAAAAATATGGATTGTTGCATTTATATATATATAAATATTTTTTTTTTTTATTGATGCATTTATTTATTTACACTTGTCATGTTTTGTCCCTCAGACTGGGGACCGGATCTTATTTTGTGTTGTTACCATGGAAACAGCAACCAACCGCTCCGAGCTAACGTTAGCACAAGTTACGCAGTTACAAACGTCGCATTACTTAAAGCTCGGTTTTTACTCACAGTATTCAGGCAGCTCGTTCAGACAGTCCTCTTCATATCAGTCCTCCTCATTATCTTTTATCCTCTTCATTATCCTTCATGTTTGACATCACGACGTGTCCACCGCGTTAGCAGTTAGCATTTGTGGAGTTAGCATATTACGCTTCGCTAACATTCTCGAGTCTTTCCCTCCTTTGTTGTCGATTCCACTAAACGTAACCGTAACGAATTGACACTTTTATTAACTAGTAATTAGTAAGTACTAGACTAGAAACTGCGAGGGTAACGTACAGGTATGTTTGTTGTCCAGAGTTTCAAAGACACTTTTATCGCGCAAGCCAAAAGAGTTCAACTGCCATTATCGCTTACGCTGATGTGACGTCATTACGTAAAATAAAAATATGATTATATGATTACCTGTTGGTTTGCAAAGAGATAAAGATAAACTTTATTGATCACCCATGGTGGAAATTTTTTAATTACAGCAGCTCAACAGGAAAAAGGAATACAATTATTAAAACTAAAAATCAAACATATGTACATAAGTCAAATAAAGGCAGAAAAAATACAATAATAGAATAATACCAGGTATTATATGTTTACAAAATGTAAGTAAACATACAGGATTTCACATACCAATATCACTTCTAAACCTAAACACATTATCCATTTATTTTCACAAAAGATAAGCAGCAAAGATTAAGAAAAACATGGAAAATATAGACATAATTAATATAAAGATAAAGATAAAGATAAACTTTATTGATCCCCCATGGGGGAAATTTTTGCATTACAGCAGCTCAAGAAAACAGGAAACAGGAATATAATTATTAGAAATAAAAATAGAAGTTAAAAATCAAACATATTTACATCAGTTAAATAAAAAAATACAATAATAGAAAATTACACAGTACCTACACTTCCACTTGTGGAAAGAGTTATTGTAATTAAAAACACACACAGTGTGTAGCATTATTGAAACGAGTCATGAGGTGGTTATGCTGTTAAAGAGTCTGATTAAACAGTCTGACTGCAGATGGGATGAACGACCTGCGGTAGCACTCTCTCAGTCTGCTGCTGAAGGAGCTGCTCAGAGCCCCCACAGTGTCATGCAGGGGGTGAGAGGGGTTGTCCATGATGGATGTCAGCTTCACTAAGATCCTCCTCTCACCCACCTCCTCTACAGAGTCCAGAGGACAGTCCAAGACAGAACTGGCCCTCCTGACCAGTCTGTTCAGTCTCTTTCTGTCTCTCTCTGTGCTCCCTCCTCCCCAGCAGACCACTGCATAGAAAAGTGCAGACGCCACCACAGTGTCATAAAAAGTATAATAGTCTATATATATAATAGTCTGATTAAAATAAATCATAAAATCAGCAGGTCAGCCCAAGTCAGACTTGCTTATCTGTGCTGTGAGACGATAGCAGAACTTTTTCTTGAATGAGGTTTCCTCTATTTGCAATTTTATAAATTTTATAATGCATCATAAATGTAAAAGTTCTTTAAAAAGCATTTATTGTACACTTAAATGTATGGACATAGGCGACATATACTTACCCCAATAAATTACAGTGAAGACTGTTTAATTTAATTTGACTTTATTAAATCATTATTATGAAAGTCCCACCAGATACATGACACATGCTTGGAGTGTCATTTTATGTTCTAACTTCTCAAGAAAGGCACCTAAAAAGTTCAGGACCTACAACTAAAATAAAAACAAAAGCTTCTTGTACAAGATATGCTGTTAAATCTGTATCTTTCAACAAAATATCACGGCTCTAACAGTTTCAATTAATGTTAGAAGCTTTGTGTGTATGCTTGTTGTAGGTTTTGTAAAGGATTCTAAAAATGGTCTGTTTAACAAGTCAGGAGGCGCCATCTGCAGGACAGTCAGTGTTATTACAAAACAGCCAGTGCACAGATGGACAATTAACTTTCAAGAATTTACACAGAAATTCACAAGTTCTTCCACTAAAGTCCTGGTTTAATGTGCGAGACACAAGAAGAATGTACTCTTCATAAAAGTAGTTAAAAAACATTTTTTTATAAATGTGATTCTATTTGTATTTGTGTGTGAAGCTCTTTGTATTGATGATACCAAGGCCACACACTTTTATGGCTGGAAGTTAGATGATTTTCATCTTACAGATTGCAGGAGAGAAATTATCCTAAAACTTCAACAACAATCATATAAATATTGCATGGCGACTATGCAGAGAAATGTACGGATCGATTCATCAAAAATTAAATTACAAAGGAAAGGAATCGTTAGAAAAGAAAGCACAACAAGCCACAATTGGAAATGTAATTAAAATAGAAAAAAAATCTTCTACACACATGATAACTCTACCATGGTGAATCAAAGACCAGACTGCAAAGCAGCAGAGTGATGACCACACTGGATAAAGCTGCTCTCAGGCCTGCAGAGCTGGACAACGTCAGCTTGTTACCGCCCAGGCCAATCAGAGGACAGGAGTTACCGGAGCCGTACTTCGCTCCCAGCGCAGATACTCCCTCACTGGCTAACAGGGCGCCTGAGAACGTGATGGTTCTGGAGACCCTGCTGGCCCAGGCACAACTCCCGACGTTCTGCTTGATCCAAACCTGGTCACCTTTCATCAGTTCATACATGAAGTAACAGGTGTTAAGGGTTGTGGTCCCATCAAACACCTTTTGGGACGAGAGGAGAAAACGACACTTTTAAGGACATTGTCCACACATTCTTTTTATTTTTATACTGACTTACTGCATGTCTCTGTTATCACACCAACCCACAGTAATAAGACTTTAAAGTTTCGGCTGGTCATTAAAGAGGACATATCATCCCCCTCCTCCACCTTTTCAAACAGTCCCCTCCTCCACCTTTTCAAACAGTCCCCTGTGGTCTAAATGAAACATCTGAGCTGTGCTTTGATCAAAATATAACATGAATCAAGCACCAGAGGAGGTTTGTGACCCTGTAGAAACCAGCTCTCTCAGAACGCTCCGTTTTGGTGTGTGTGTCTCTTTAAATGCAATGAGCCCCCACCCCCCTCTGAGTTTTCCAGGTAGACATCACACCTATAAAAATGGCGGACCTGCAAAAAAGTTAATGGGTGGAGATACCAGGGGAGGGGAGGGGATTTTTTTTTTACCAGAATCCCACTGTGACATCACAAGGAGAGCACATTTGAAACAAAGTGTTTCTCTGTGTTGTAAGACTTATGCAGACCACAAACAAAGGACTGGATGGGTTTATTTCACATTTTGTGGGTCAGTAGACTAAATATTTTAAATAGTTAATTTTTCATATTTTCTGGTCTGTTCCAGGATTGATTTACTGAAGTGAAGTTATACTCTTTTCTGTGAAGTTAGATTCTTGATCACATTTGTTTAGTGTTGTGTACCTGGGCATGGCAGTGCATCTTCCACTGCCCCTGCACCATGAAGGACCACACATTGTTGTGCCGTCCTCGGCAGAGCTGGGCAGCGAACACAAACTGGTAGATGCCAGCGACCGGCGCGGTGAACCGACCCGTGTCGTTGTTGTATCCAGAGCCCTGGTTCAACACCACCTCGTTAAAGATGACCGGGTTGTACTCGATATCGGTCATACTGCCCTCGTGGGCAGCGAAGAACAGAACAGCAGACCCTGTATCACAAAGTCACACAAAGACCAGCTGTAAATACATCCAATCATACATAATAATAATCTTTATTTATAGAGCACTTTTCAAAAACAAGTTACAAAGTGCTTTACAAGGACAGCAAAAAACAGGCAGGTCATAGAATAATAAACAAGGCAAGATTAAGGAATAGAAATCACTTTAAGATATAAAATCCCATTTTAAAAGAACTGTAAAATACATACAATTCTTTTAAAGGAATTCTAAAAAGTGAAAATAGTAACAATTTAAAATCAACAAAAATTACATTTGGTCTGTCTCTCTATCACTCACAAAACTAAAAACACACACACACACTTCCTACCCTGCTTTGTGACTGCTGTCTGACGAGGGGCCTGTGGAGAGATTCAAGAGAAAGCTTCATGTTGAACCAGAATTAACAGAATTTATGTTAAAGACTGATTCATTCACACACAGAATACCTGAAATGCCCCTAAGGTCTTGTCAGGTTACTTACCCGATCAACCGAGACTGCTGATGTCAGGCCGTCTACAAATAACACCGTCAAAGTTACAAAAACAGAACACACCTGGAAGAAAGAGTAAACCAAAAGTTGTTAACAAAAAAGCATCCAACAAATAAAGACTGAGGTCCGACAGACAGTTTAAGATACCTTATAGGTGCTCATCTTTCTGACTAACAGCTGTGCAGCAGTGACAAACTCTGCCAGGCTTCTGGTGAAGTGTTTCTGTGCTCAGCAAGCAAAGTCCACCTACTGCTGCTTTGTTACAAAACCTGTTTGACTAACTCTGCCCAACAAATCAAAAACAGAAAGAAAAACTGAACATTAGCTTAAGTTTTTTTTTAAAAGTGATTCAACGTTTTTACAACGAAATTAAAGATGCCAAAAAAGTTTTTATTTTATTTAGACTAACATTTGAAGAAGAGCGACGACAATTTGAAAATATTTTTTTTGTGTGTTGGTGTAATACCAGGATGAGTCTGCAGAGGGCGCCAAAACAGCTCGTTCTGCAAATCACGCCATAGTTCCCCAATAAGAAAACAAGAATTTCACAAGACAGGGACCCACTGGTGGTACAATGGTTAGGGCGCGTGTCCCATGTGTTGAGACTCTCGTCTTGAGCGGTAGGCCCGGGTTCACTTCCACCCGTGGCCCCTTTCCACATGTCATTCCCCGCTCTCTCTCCCTGGTTTCCGACTCTATCCACTGTCCTCTCTCTGCATTAAAGGCACGAAAAGCCCAAAATAAATCTTAAAAATCAAAATCAAAATTTCCCAAGACATCTTCAAACCTCCCCTGGCAGCCCTGCAACATTCTGCCCACCAGAAGGCTTCCAGAGAGCTGGCCAATCAGAAGAGAGTGGACCCGTGGGGAGGGGAGGAATTAAAGAGACAGCAGCTGAAAGGAACCACGTTATTTATTTATTTATTTATTTATTTATTTATTTATTTATTTTTTATTTATTTATTTATTTATTTATTTATTTTTTTTTTTTATTTTATTTTTTTTTTAATTTTTTTTTGCATTGTTAAGGAGAGCTTGGAACACACAAATTTCATTGCCAGCTATGACTGCTTTGCCTGTTATGTTGTGCACTTGACTAATAAAGATAACTTGAACTTGAACTTATTCGAGCTGCAAATCATGCAACACTGCTCTAAAGGTTTCACAGTTTGACAACATGAAAGGTGAACATGAGGAGAATATGGGATGTTCCAGTTTAAAGGACTTTTGTTTTTCACATTGTACGATAGTTCATTCCTTGTTATCGGAGTCCATTCATCAAGGCTCAGCAAAGGATTCATATAAAGTAATGCTGGATGTGATTATAAACCGTTATCGCTGCGTCTGTGCCTTCCAGTTCAGCCCCATCCACTAAGTGTTGTGATAACCTTACAGAGAGGGCATTGACTCAGTTAGAGGCCAGAGGAAACTGGAATTTGACCGCTAATGAAAAAACAACAATCGGCAGAGACTTATGACCTGCTGATGAGCGACACATGGTTCAAACAAGCGGATATTTTTATGTATCACTCGAGTGTAATACACCAAGAAACACAAGAGTTCATGAACCAAGACATCAATGTTTTCTGAGTCAAAATGATTTATCGGCGTGAAAAACGACATTGGTTACTATTCTTTATCTATTCATTGTTTATTCTGTAGCCTTTGAGAGTCTACAGAGAGAGACTCTTTTATATTTTGGTGTCCTAATCAGGGTGCAATTTGTAAAATAAACAGAGTGGGGGGGATGTTTTTGAAACGTTTTTATTCATGACATTTTTTTATTCCGAGACCTTCCCGTTAATACAGGTGCGTAGTGGGAGAGCAAAAATTGTTTTGACCGCAGTGAAAATGTTGTTTTTGCAAAGGCTAAATGCAAACAAATATTATTGAAACAAAATAATAAGAAATAATTACATCCATCTTTTTTCAGTAAATTTTGGCTTTTGGACTTTACAGTGCTCTGGAGATAACTGAAATGTTTGGTTCACACAAGTCAGAAACAAACACATTTTGTCCCCACCGGAGATAAAAATAATTCAGCAGAGGCAGGGATATATAGACCCCCCCCCCCTCCCCTCCCCCCGGCAAATTGCGCCCTGGTCCTAATGTTTCTACACTGTGTCTGATCTAATGGCTCTGTTAGTTTATTGGAGTTTTTGAAGATAACACCAAAATGAAAAAGTGTGTGGAGGCGTGTAGGAAGGACAATTGAGAGGCGGTCCCTCAGAAAGTCTGTTGGATCCATTATTGGTTGTTGTTGTGATTATTAAAGGGATGGGCATTATCCAACGTGAACTTGATGGCCTCATGAACATTTTGTGTTTGAGTTATGATGCTCATTCAGGTCTGAAAGGTGCATCAACAGGGTCTGTCTGACTCTGAACTCTGTAATATCCACCAGTGTAATAATGCAACAGTAATCATCTTGACATCTGGCCTGTGACCTCAATAAGTCTGTTTCTCTTTCTCTCTTTTCCTCCATCCATTAATCCAGCAGTAATCCTGAACATATGGTCCTCCTAAAGTCCTAAAGACCCCCGTCTCTTTTAACGACTGTGTGAAGCCGAATGCTTCTTTTGTAATGGACAGTGGGCGATCACAGGCAGTGAGATAGTGGTTAGTTATTAAAGTGGTTTTCTACTGGGAGCTTTATTTGAGATTATCGGTCATCGAGACACGCTTCCTGCCTTTCATATTTCATATTCTATGTATTTATGCACATTAATCTTAGGTGGATTATCTCTTAGTGTCCTTTATGTATTTGTATTTGGCTGAAAAACATATTTCCCTGTGGAGACAATAAAGGTGACTTTGACCTTTGACCTTTGACCTTTGATCATTGAAATACCAGAATTTACTCCCGATGCTCTGAGAATGAGGCGGGATTAAAGATGAAAATAAACCTGGTGCAACCATCCTTACATCTTTCTTTGTATACATGATGATGAAACTAAAACAACTTGGTGACTTCCTGAACTAGCTCGCAGGCGTCGCCGCATTTTGTAATATTTCTCTTTTATTAGCCTCAGTGTTTAGGGGCGGAGCAAATTGATTACCGAATCAGATTTTTTTTTTAATCAAATACTTTCTTTATATAATATATAAGTTTGGCTGAGATGATATCCAGCTACATAATAAAATACTTCAGTTCTCCTGCACAGTGAGTTAAACAGGGTGGGAAATAACAAACCACATTTATTTAATGTAATATTTTAATTTTTATTTCTGGATATACAAGCCAAAAAACAACAACGACTTAGATGTGTTTTTTTGTTTTTCTGTGTTGTCTCATTATTAACTCTGTGTAGATCTTTGTTCTTGTTGACGTTGTTGATTTAAACCAAACACATTTTTACCTTCAGAACATCAACGCAGCTCCAGAGTCGTTTATCTGATCCAAAGCAGCGTCGGCCCGTTCAAATACAAACTGAAATGTTTCCAACGTATTTGTCTAATTCTGACAGTGTGTGTGCAGGAGTTTGCTGCAACTTTAGGACCTTTTCTTTCTTTCTCTTCCAAAAGCCAAAACTGAACTGAGGAAAAAGGCGTTTAAGTTTCCCGCTCGCTCTGCTTGAAACGAATTACAAAAAGAGTTGAGACTGAACGAGCTGCTCTCATTGGATGATTTTAAGAGGATGTTAAATGACTCGGAGGCGAACACATCAGGCTGTAGATCTGTGGATCATTACAAATATTTACTGTTTAAATTTGTAATATCTTTAAAGTCTTATAATGTATTTTTTGTATTTGTATGTTTGTGCTCGTTGTTTGTTTGAAACTCTGTAAGTCGTGCTTCTAAACGAGTTTCTTTTGAGTTTAAAAAAAATCCTTGGATGCAGACAAAGAAAAAATGCTGTAAACTGAAAAAAAGAGCAAGAATTCAAACCACACTGCAGCGTTTCTTTTTAAGTCTTTCCGGCATACAGGACACGACCACTAGCCCGTTTGAATATCAAAAGAAAAGCTGGATTGTTGGTCCATTCATGGCGGCCATATTGTTCAGTCTGCAGGCTCTCAGGGTCTCCACACCGTCCTTACTCGTCTTTATCCTTCACTTTTTTTTAAATTCTCTTTCAGGCTCTAAGTTTGTGCCTGCGACTCCGTCTCCCAGTTTTTCCCGCGGTTCCTCTTCCTGGTCCTCTCCGCCATCACCAGAGCAGCCACCACGGTGACCAGCACGGTGACGGTGATGACGAGCACGGTGGCTGTTTCTGCCACACAGAGCTGGCTGTCCACCCAGGCCAGCGAAGCCCCCGCTAGCTGCGGCGGGTCCCGGCACGTCACGTTGCGATAGTCGTCGATGTGGAGGTGTCGGACGTGTAAGATCTTACTGAAGACGCGATGCAGCTCGCAGTCGCAGCTCCACGGGTTACCTGATGGAGAAACAAGAAAGGTAAACGTAGTGTTCATCATACAGGCTCAGAAAACGTTGTGACAAGATAAGGGTGAAATTCAGAAATCTACAAGAACTATACGGATGTAGATTATGTCCCAGGAATAGAAGTAGACTCATCAACATTAAGCATTTGTCTTATATCAAGGCTATTTCCTACATTTTAAAGGAGCAACATGTAAGATATCTACTGAGTGAGATGATAAAGGTATCTTACTACATGATCAGACATTAAGGAAACATGCTATGTTGAAGTGCTGGCTTCTCTGACAACAATGCAGCAGCCAGTATGTCCTCCTTCTAACTTTAGATTCTGCTCCTGAATGCTCTGGATTTGTTTGGACCAGAGATGGTAGGCGGTTTTAAGACACACCCCCACACGGCCGTTTTGGACGCCCCTCAGTTTGTCAGATATGAGAGCAGTTATCAGGTCAACAGGTGTTGCAGCGATGGAAGCGGTCAAGAGAAGTGGTTCAGATAGAAGTGATTGTACCCGACCTAAAAAGCCTCTGCATGTTTCTAATAAGCTCCACGAGCAGAAACGTGCTCAAACTAGGATCAATATTGGAGATGCTTTTGAAAAATGGAGAGAGGTTAGAACACAGAAAGGTTTACAGACCCATGCAGAGCTGGATAAACACTGAAGCTTCAGAGTCCACCACATGGTGACCTGAGTGAGCATCCACTCTAGAGAGGAGGGGGGGCAGCTCTTTGCAATGTTTAGAATATGGACTGCAGTGCCCATTTTAACCACTAGGTGTCAGAGTTACATACTGCTCCTTTAAGTGAATATATAGATGAGACTTGTGAGGTGAATGTAGGTGACAGAAGTAAAGACCTGACAGCTGGATGTGTGTAGCTGTTGTGTGCAGGCTGATGAAGGTTTTAAACTTGAGGTGATGCAGGTTGTTTCCGTCCAGAGCGAGGACCGCCAGGCTGTAGAGAGGAGCCAGAGCGTCGCTGTCGATCTGAGAGATGTTGTTGTTACTCAGCTGGAGCATCTACACAGATAGACAGGTAATCAGACAGACAGGCACACAGGTCACCTGGTAAACACATAGAGTCATTAATCAGTCACCTCCAGTCCAGGCAGCATATCCAGGCTCCCGTGTTGCACCACCGTCAGTCTGTTGTTGTGAAGGTAGAGCTGCCGGAGCCGCGAGAGGCCCCTGAACACACCGGGGCCGACCGACACCAGCTCGTTATGACTCAGGTCCAGCTTCTCCATGTTGTCCAGATTCTCCAGGCTGACAGAAGGAAGAGGACAATTCATCACAATCAAAAAGATGCATGTCCATAGGATCCTGTTTGTGCATGTGTGTGTATTTCAGCCTGTGTGTTGCATGTCTCTATATGTAATTTCCCCTCTTGGGATTAATAAAGCATATCTTCTTCTTCTTATAAATGTTTAGCAGCACAAAGCAGCATATGCAACTGCTGTGATGTCACCATGACGTCTTGGTCCACTGGGGGAACCGGACTCTGAATAGTAACAGACAGGTACCTGTATCCAGAAATATGATGCAGGTTGTTGTGCTCCAGTCGCAGCTCTCTGATGGCAGACAGACTGGTGGAGAAGTCGACTGGTAGAGAGGTTAACTGGTTCCAACTGAGATCCAGTTTTCCAGGAAGGACAAAGAGAAAAAAGCCTGTGGAAAGAGAGGGAATTCACAAACTCTTTAATTTTTCCTTTTTTTCCTTAAAGTTTTAAGTGTGATTTTCACACTTAAATATAAATCAAATATCTCCTCTGAAAATAACTCTGTGAGTCATGACTGTCTACAATGGGTGTAACACCCGAGTCCCACTGTCTGTGATGTTTTCAGAGTTTTCAGAGTCCTATTTCAGTTTGTTTACATCGCCAGGACGGCCGGCTGACTCCTCCCCTCGTGTATAAAAGTTGTTTAATTGAGGGACTAGAGAAAAGAAGAATAACATACTGTACTCACTGCTTAACTGTGTTTCTAGATCACGCTCATTTCAGGTAAATTTACATGCAGTGTGAAGATACCAGCATAATAAAGATCGCTAGCATTAGCATGCTAACACAACAATGCAGCGCAAGTTGTTTTGGTTTCATGCTGGTGCTCAAGGGCGACATCTGCTGGATCAAAAAATCACATATAAAGCCTTTAATTTCCTTTACAGCAGCTTGATGGAGCCAAGCTTCACTCGCAGACTTTCAACCAATTCAAACACAAAACGATTCTCTTTAACGATACATTCAAGTGGGACGTTTAGGATGCAATCACTTCTCTTCTTTCTGATCGATCAGTAACTTTGATATCGATCGTGTCATCCTCACCTGTGGTTGTATGTCTCTGATCTGGCTGTTGGTCAGCACCAGCACCCGCAGCGACCACAGTCCAGTGAACGCCCGGGTGCAGATCTCACTCAGGTTGTTTCCTCCGAGCTCCAGCAGCCACGTGCCGTGCGGGAGGCCTCTGGGAACGTGCTCGAACCCTCGACTGTGGCAGTCCACGAGGTCGGCGTGCTCGTAACACATGCACTTGTACGGACACAGACGCAAACCCTCGACGGATGGAAGAAGGGACGGCGGGGAGAGAAAGGCAAGCAGGAAGAAGAGGAATGGTGGGAAAAGGAGACTCATGTTTCTCTGGAAGAGGAGGGACACAGCAGCTTGTTGAGAGGAGAGTTTAAAGAGCGGGATGTTGAAATGAGATGGGGAGTTTAAATCTGTGGTTCTCGCTGCTTTTCATCAAAGAAGAATCTGGAAATATAAAGAAAAGCAAAGACAGTTTCAGTCAAATCAGTAAACTCTAGCTCGTTGATCTGCTTTTCTGTGCACCACAAAGTGTAAATGAAACTACTCTGCACTATCTTCTTTTTAAACATTGCTGTACATATATAAACAACACGACTTCAGAAGGTCAACACTTTTTTTTTTTTTATTGGTTTTGTGGTTAATTTGTAACAAATGTTTCATGTACGTCTTTGTAACCTGCTACTGGACGCTTTGAATTTCCCTCAGGATCAATAAAGTATCTATCTATGTATCTACTACCATTTTTCATAATGTGTTCTTTAAGTAACTAGACCAAAGAGCGTCTGCTTCTCGCTTTCACCTGAGCTCTTCTTTGGTCGCCAGAAACTCCTGAAAAAACAGCTCAAGCTCTTTAGCTGCTAAATGCTACACGATGTTTACCGGCAAGTTTCCGACTTTGAAACCAACAAACAAGATGAAATGAAATGTGCAATGTGCATCTCTTGGTTTAATCAATCAAACAAACTTTATTTGTGTAACTTTTCATACAACAAATGTATCCCAAAGTGCTTTACATCAACATAATCAAACAGCAACAGCATGACTCCCTCCCCCACAATACAAAAACTAAGGTAAAAATAACTAGATAAGAACAGGAACTGAGGAAACGCTATCATTTATTCTAAATGAGGAAACACAGGAGGTTCAAAATGTAAAAAACTAGATGAAATGAGATTCAGTTAAAAGCTCTACTAAAAGGTAGGTTTTGAGTTTGCTTTTAAAAATGTTTAATGGACTCTTGAACTTGGAGAAAAAAAAATCTGATGAACCATTGGGGGGCTGGTGGAGCAGTGGTGGTGTGTCGCCTCATGTGGACAAGCTGTGGTCCTCCAGGCGGGTTGTCGAGGTTTGAATCCAACCTCTTGCTCCTCTTGCTCTCCCTGATTTCCGACTCAATCCACTGTCTCAATAACTTGAATTTCCATTCCGGTATGAGCTCCTGACTGATTTTATTGCGCTGTTTTTATTTGGTTTTATATTTTGCTGTGTGTGTTGGTTTATGTTTCATGGTGATGTTGTTCTTGTGTTTCTTGTCTTCTGTGTGCTCCTGTTGCAACGCACATTTCCCCTTGTGGGACAATAAAAAATCTGAATCTGAATCTGAAACTTTTGACCTCTCCTCTGAAAGGTTTCTTCAGTACTTATTGCTGGACGTTGGTGCCTTTGGCTCAAGCTTTGGATTTACCATGACCGGGATGACTGAGCTGTGTACAAAGCATGTCCAGTAATCAGCCTTATCAGGTATCGGGCACTTAAACTTCATGAAATCCGCCATCATGAGAGATTCTCACAACTTATTCTTCACCATTGAAGGTTGGCACAAAAAGAGAACGAGTGCTTTCCACAGTCAGAAGGCTGCATTGAAAAAAAAAACAGTTTCTAAACTGTCCTGGTTACATAAGCGACATACTTTTTAAATCTTCCTCAGAGTAGCTTTTTCGCTTGTTTTGAACATGAAGGCCTCATCTGATTTATCCCCGCTGTCCCATGTGGATGTAATTACATAATCACAGTCACTGAGCGACGCAGAGCGGCAGGAAGGAAAAAGACTCACTGAGACTCTGTGATGTATAAAAAAACATTGTTTATAAAAGACACATTGCAGTGAGAGCTCATGTCTAATTCACTGGAAAGAAGAAAGGAGCAGTTTGTTATTTCCTCAGATTATTCCCTTTATAATGACTGAATGTTGTGGGGAAAAAATCAGCATGCAGTAGTTTTGCTCATTTGATATATTTGCTCTTATAGTTTTCACAGTTTTGATCATTTCATAAATGCATTTTAATTTCCTTTAATTATCTCTACCTCCTATCCTTCTCTGAGGATTTGTCTTGTGGCGCTCTATTGCCCTTTAGTCTAATGTACAGCGAGTTCTCTGATTATTAAAATGAATGAAAACTGAGGATGATTTTTCCACTTATAGAAGTTGAGGACAGGAGCCTCAAAAAAAATGGCAATAAAAAAAAGATCTTTTAAATTTTATAACTCACCTCCTCTGATGTAAGAAGTCTTCATACTGGAGCATCGTTTGTCCTCTGTCCTCGCTGATGATGATGATGATGACGACGGCTGGACTCAGACAAAGAGAGAGAGAGATGCTGCTCTCAGAGACGGACGCAGCGACAGAGTGATGGTGCTGATGGAGACTCCCGGTGCAGTCAGCTGTATCACTAATCCTCTAATCCTCTCCAATCACCAAATGTTTCCTCCGTATCCAGCTCGTCTCATCGTCTAGTCCGGTCTCAGTCTCATTTTGTGTTAATACCGTCGGGAAGCCCTGGCGTCCCTCCAGCCGGCTGTTTCACCCACTTTAAAGGAAATCATGAAAAATCTAATTCTACAGTGTTGTTGAACATTTATCTGTGTAACCTGAGAGTCTACTGACCCACAACATGTGAAATAAATCCATCCAGTCCTTTGTTTGTGGTCTGCATAAGTCTTACAACACAGAAGAAAATGCTCTGTTTCAAATGTGCTCTCCTTGTGATGTCACAGTGGGATTCTGGTTAAAAAAAAATCCCCTCCCCTCCCCTGATATCTCCACCCATAGACTCCACCCCCAGACTAGAGCAAAACTTTTACGCAGGTCGGCCAAGCTCAGGGGGGTTAGGGACATTAAATTTGAAATTTGTTAAATTGATAACTATTTCTTTAAGTCAGTTAAGTCACTTTGCAAAGTGGCTTCAGTGATTTAAAGACGAGGATTTCAAACTTTTTTGTCGGTGTTCTGCTGACGGGAATTTTCACTTATTTTTAAAAACAAACAGTCGTCGTCTCCAGCTCACGTCTTCTCAGTGTGCTCAATTTTAAAATGTGCAAGATTTTATTATCTATCTTCCTGGCAATCTACGGTGGATCAGAATAACTGTACATGTTGTGAAGAAGAACCGGAAACTACAGGTCACAGATGGTGTGATGTGATTGGCTGAAATTTTATCCGACCCCGATCTTCAGAAATCATTTTTGGAACTATAATGAAGGACAAAAACTATCATGCTAAATACATGATTTACCTCCGGGAATTGTTTTAATCATAAATGTAAATCACACCTCCTATTGACTGTTTTCATGAGAGAATTAGTTCTTTACTGTAAATCTCTGAAGTATACAGACAAAAATCGACTTCACATGATCGATTAATTACATTTATTTGAAGAATCCCCTCAGCCTTCTTGCCTGAATACGTTCATTTATAATCTTTTTCCCTGTATTATTATTTTTGTTGAATTGTTATTTCTCTCCGTTCTCGAAGCGCCTGAAAGAACGGAGGTTTTGATTTCCGTGCGTGCGTGCGTCATGACGTCAGAACGCGGACGCGGACGCGGAAGTGATGATTGAGGCTGCTGTCAACAGTCCACCGTGCGGGTATAATAGGTAGAAATAGAAGATACATGTCAGACGTGTGTGCTCTTTACCTGTGCAGAGGTGAGGTGAGGTGACGTGTGCAATGTTAACAGAGCACGAGGAGACGTTTGGAGGCATCAGTGACGTAGACGTGCTAACTTAAAGCTAACGGCTAACAGCTAACAGCAGGTACAGTCTGATGAATAAATACACATCACATATTTTACTTTAATTTATCAGTAAAACTACCTCTGTGTGTGACTTCATCCTGATAAACTGTTTGTGTGAAACGTTAAATACACTTTTAAATCTTAAAATCAGAGTTTTGGTGAACTTTAACCCCGAGGCAGGTTCAGGCTCTAAAATGAACTCTTTTGGTTTCTCTAAGTGCTGCAGCAGCCAGTATGTCCTCCTCCTAACTTCAGATTCTGCTCCTGAATGCTCTGGATTTGTTTGGACCAGAGAAGGTAGGCGCTTTTAAGACCCCCCCCCACACACGGCTGTTTTGGACGCCCCTCGGTTTGTCAGATATGAGAGCAGTTATCAGGTCAACAGGTGTTGCAGTGATGGAAGCGGTCAAGAGAAGTGGTTCAGATAGAAGTGATTGTACCCGACCTAAGAGAAATAAAGAAACAGAATAGAATAGAATTACTTTATTAATCCCAAACTGGAAAATTGTAGCGTTACAGCAGCAGGTTATCCAAACACACAATATGAGCAAATAAACACAATTTAATATTAAATACAAAGTAAATAAGCACTAAAAATATCAAAACTAAGAATGAGAATATATACAAGCAGGATTTAACTAAACATTATTAGTCTTAAATAGGAAGATTAAATGTAAATGTGCAACAACAGAGTAGTAAATGGACAGTATTGGTGTAATTGGCTGGTAAGGGGCAAGTTAACTCTGATTGGTTGTTTTTTTCAGACCTGAAAAGTAAAAACAAACTAAATACAAAGGAAGCTGCTGACAGATAGAGATCATCATCACACATTTAAATATTGTTGGTGACATTCAATGATCGTGATCTGTCGAGTAAACCAACATTTTAATGAAATAAAATCACAGCTTGTCGTCTTCACTGTGTTTTAGAGTAACACATCTTTGTGTTGTTGTCAGAGAGCAGCCATGGCCGAGGCCGGAGCTCACCTGACCTCCACCTCTGTGAACGAGCAGCCGTCCATCTTTGAGGTCCTCGCCCAGGAGTCTCTGATGGAGGCGGTCAGACCGGCCCTGAAACACGCCATCAAGGTGAGGGACGAACTGCTCCTCCTGAAGCTCCTCAGTCAGCTACACTCTGTTGAGCCCACACTGTTAGACCCCACGTGGGCCAAGTCTGCTCTGATTGGTCTGCCAATCCGCTCTGTCGTTATTGGTCAGTTGCTCAGCACGCGGCTCGGAAATTTCAACATGAGCTGCGTTTCTGCAGACTTTGAATTTTGCACCTAGATGTGACTAAACATGAACAGGACACTTGGAAAACACACTAAAGAGCAAATAAAACCAGAAAAAGAAGAATATGGGACCTTTAAATAAAGTGTTTACTAAAATGCACTTTGAAAAAACATCAATTATTGTGTTAATGTTGAAATGTTGAATGAATTCAAGAGTTGAAATTGGCTTCTTGTCGATGAGCTGCTCCTCCATTAAACATCAACTCTTGATCTGAAGTCCTCTTCCCCGACATGTGCATGATGGAGTAACTGTTTTCTTTCTGTGACCTTCACGACCTCCTCAGGTTCTCGCCGAGTCCAACCCCTCCCGTTTCGGCTTCCTGTGGCGGCGCTTCGACGAGCTCTACCTGCTCCTGGACCTCGTCCTGCAGAACCACTTCCTGTCCCACTGCAGCGCCTCCTTCTCTGAAAACTTCTACGGTCTGAAGAGAGCTACTGGACGGGGATTCGCCGTCCGCCTGGGGCTGAACAGGAAGTCACACTGGCGCTCTCTTCTGCTCCTGTGCCTCGTGCCGTACCTGCGGGCCAAGCTGGAGGTGACGCTGGCGCAGCAGAGGGACGAGGAGGACTTCTCCATCCGGTTGGCGCAGAGCAGGAGTCAGAGGCTGTACCGCGCGGCCGTCGCAGCGTATCCCTACGTGAGCTCGGCCTGGCAGGCGTGGGTCTTCTGCCAACAGATGCTCTACGTCTTCGGTGTCGCCAAGACCCATAATCCTCTTCTGTGGCTCGCCAGGGTCCGACTGGCACGACTAAACGCTCAAGATATCAGAGACCTGGAGCTGAAGCCAAGCAGAGCTGAGCACCCAGCTGAGGGGAGGTGTGTGTGTGTGTGTGTGTGTGTGCGTGTGCGTGCGTGTGCGTGCGCGTGTGCGCGTGTGCGTGTGTGTGTTTTATCTTATCTATTCTGTTTAATGTTTATTTTCAGCTGCTGCAACGCCCGAATTTCCCCTCTGAGGATCAATAAAGTTTTATCCTTATCCTAATAGTTTATCCATTCAAACGGGAAGAGTTGTAGGGATCTTTCAGTCCTGATGTCTCGCATGCTTCACCTCGTCTCCCCCAGTGAGCTCTTCTAATCAGATACTTCGGTGTAAAGATGAGAGTCTCTCAAAGAAGTCAAGATTTTAGTGAATGCAACTATTAATGCAAACGCAGACAATCCCTGTTTCCAAGTTAACATGAAAAAGAATCCTGATAAAAGCTATCAATTAAGTCCCTGAATTACCTGAGAGACTTCAATGATTAGGTATCATCATTGATTGATTGATCATCAGGACCAACCTTCGCGCCTGGGGGGTCAGGGGCCTGGGGGGTCAGGGGCCTTCTCCGTTGCCGTTCCCACCCTCTGGAACTCTCTCCCTAAAAACATCAGAGACTCCCCCACACTCACTTCCTACAAGAAATCCCTAAAAACTCACCTTTACATCACCGCCTACAACCACTGACTCTCATCCTCTTCCCTGTACTTCTGTTGTATTGTTCTCTTAGTTTTTGTTTTGTTTTTTGTTGTTTCCTGTCAAAGCTTCTTTGAGTATTTAGAAAAGCGCTTTATAAATCTAATTTATTATTATTATTAGTGGTAGCTCATTGCGATTCAATACGATCCTGCCGCCCAAGGCGAGGTAAGAACAGCGTGCAACCTTGAAGTAATAGAACTTACCACCATGCCTCTCCCTTGTGTTTGCAGCCTGCTGCAGAGGGCGTGGTGGTTGATGTCACAGACAGCGAGGGGTGCGGCCCTCTCCCTCTCCTCCTCCCTCTCCATGGGCGTGTTCTTCCTGCAGTTCCTGGAGTGGTGGTACTCCTCAGAGAACCAGAGCACGGTGAAAACGCTCACCTCCCTGCCTGCGCCTCCACCCCCGCTCCACCTGAGGCAGGACCAGAACAACCAGGAGCCTTCGTCCAATCACAGCGGAGACGCTCAGTCCACCTCCAACACAGTGAACTGTCCGCTGTGCAGAAGGATTCGAACAAACTCCACGGTGCTGTCGACGTCTGGTTTCGTCTTCTGTTACAGGTGTATCTACACGTTTGTGAAGGCGAATCGACGCTGCCCGGTCACAGGATTCCCCACTGAGCTGCAACACCTCATCAAAATCTACTCACCAGAGAGCTAGAGCAAAATGTCCGGACCTCTCACACTGAAATCTGTTAAATAAAACTGAGGCCTTGTTCTAAAAAAAAAAGTAAAGAAAACTCCAGTATTCATGAGCTGCAAGACTCTGTGAAAAAGAAAAAACACACTGTGATTTCTGTTGTCAGCTTTCTGAAGATTTAAATGTTTTGCAGGAATTTGTTAAACCACATTTCCATTTTCGAAATCAGGTAAGTTAAGGAAAAGCTGCGCAGAATTGTTTCTGTTTACCAATTATGAAGTGTGCCTTTAAAGAGAAATGTTTTGTTTTTTTATAAATCACAAAAATGCTAAATGTTCAATTCACACTGAATTAAGTTAATTATGAAATTAAATTAGTTAGTGGGGGTGGGACTGTTTTCTAAAATGCTATGATGGATATAAATGGGTTGAGCTTGAATAACACCAAAAGCAAAAAATGTATAAATAAAATGAAGTATTTACATTTTAAACTGCTGTAAGAGTTCTTTATAACTTCTTTGAATCCTTTGCATGTCCATCATGTTGAAGCAATGTGATCTAGCGTCTACACTTACTTGAGGAACATGAACATGAGCTGCAAGTATGAACATGTGTTTCAGTGTCTATGAAATTATATTTTAACTGTTTATATTTGTTCTGTTTTTATTTGTATTGCTGCAGAGCCCCGCTGGAAAAGAGACCTCGGCCTCAGTGGGTTCCCTGCTAAAATAAAGGATAAATAAAAATGTGAAAACTTAATTGTTGTTTTGAGTTGTTGGAAGTCTTAGAACTAAAAGGTTTTGATTTAAGGTATTTATAGTTTTATTTTTTGTGCAAAAATATTTGCAGCATGCTAGCCCACTAACCTCACAGATTTTTCCATCTTGACATGTTAAAAACTTAAAAGAAATTGATTTGAATTTTAGCACATTTTGAAAGTTATAGATTTGATTTGTTACAAGGGTCTGATATTGGAGGATCAAGCTTTCATGCATTTGCAGTCAGCAGCCACCTAGCTTATCTCAGGTAACAAAAATTTTATCTCAGGTGACCGAAAATTTTTAAAGGTGCAGAAAGGCCGTTTTACGTGAAATAAGTGGTTAATGATTGAAAGAAAGTCGGTGAATTGCTTTATTGAGTTTCCAGACAAGTTTAACAACAGGCCCACTTAAAAAAAACAACAAAGAAACAGATAATCAGGATCAACATCACAACGTTACAGTGAGAGTAATAAAAAAAAAGGGCTTCGTTAAAATATCCACAAACCCCCTGAAATCAAACAGAGTGAAGAATCACAAGAGTCACCTTCCCTTTTTAAGCTCCTGTAACGCGATCAGAAACAGAAAATCAGGACAATTAGAAAAAAAACAAAAAAACGGGCTGAATCTTCAAAAAAAGGGACAAGTATCACCATCAATAATAGTCACAGTAATAGATTGCTCGAATAGCGTGTATTGCACGTGTACACATATATGCACTTTATATACATGTGAGTCAGCGAGAACTAGACACATGTTGTATCGTCGCAACAGGAAAGAATCGGGATAAAATGACTGCACGGACGCAGAGTAGTCAGGAATGTGCTTGTGATCAGTTCCAATAAAATGAGTTTCAGATTTTTCAGTCACAAGTTTGACGAGACAAAAAGGTAACAGAGAGAACATGTCCCGTCCAAAACAGAAGGAGGTAAAAGAGGGAGAGACGGTGACAATCCAACTGATACTGAACCTCGTCTGTCCCACCAAAAAGTCCAAAAATACTCCCCTCCCCCCCATCCCCCGCCCCCATACACACACACCGCAACATAGCAGGACACTACAGTTACACCACAGTATCAAACATAGCAAGAAATATACAGTATTCATTTATGTAGCAAAATAGTGTTTGTTTTTCTATCCTGGTGGGGTCCACACTCAGATTGATAGTGCAGTGGGGACCAATTTTTTCCATGTGTTCCCCAGGTGTGTGTGTGTGTGTGTGTGTGTGTGTTTGTCTTACTGTACTGGTGGGGTTCGTAAGCAGATTGACAGTGCAGTGGGGGCCCTTATTTTTTCTCTGTATTCCTCAGGTGTGTGTATATGTTTTACTATCCTGGTGGGGTCCATAACCAAATTGATCCCCAAGTGGGGACCAATTTTAATTGTGTGTAGGTGTGTGTGTTTGTTTTGTGTCCTAGTGGGGTCCATAACCCAATACCTCACACATTGGAGCCCATTTTTTCCCATAATGACTGATTCCTTGTCTCCATAGTTATGCGAGTGTGTGTGTGCAGGTGGTAGCAACAGTAAAGGTGTGTAGCCTCTGGACGTTCTGATTAAACTGTACAGTTTAAGTTGTTAAAAGTTTAAAAAACAGGTCCAGAGCTCAGCGCGCCATGGTGACCCCTCCCAATTTTAATCTTTTTTGTAGACTGATCCCTTTGTTGGACAAAGTATATCTCACTTTCACTCTACAAATGAAATAGTGTTGTAGCATATGATGATTTTATAATTTGTGAGAAGCAAATTCTTGTCATATTTTTACTTGTTTGGGTGTAAAATGATGATTACTTTCAAACTGTTTAAGGAGGTGGCAGCAGACACGATACGATGAAGTCGTTTTGGGACAATTACAGGCGAGCAAGTTAAGTACACTAAAAGTGCTTGTTTTTGCAACTGATTTTTTTTTTCATAAAATATCAAAACTGTCAACTCTTTACATTTGAAAAGCTGGAAGCAGGTAGTGTATGGCTTGTTTTGCTTTCAAAGCATAATGCTATATAATCGTATATGTTTTCCTGGTGAAACCACCCAGAACTGGCCTCTTAAGATTCAGTCGACAATCTGTTTGTATGTGACAAACTTCAAGGATTATTCAATGAGTGACAATTTGGATATGTGGATGATTGGTTACCTAGCTTTGTGTGTTTGTGTGAGGTAAGACAGTTGAAAAAATTGTGTGAAAAACAATTTGTAAAGCAATCCACACCAATCTGAAAGTGACTCACATGGTTGAACTTATTGCAAGTCATGGACGTACTTAAAAAAAACTAAAGGTTGAAGGTGCACATTGCCTGTTTATAGGGTCATAAACCCCCCCTGAAAAAAGTATGGAAAGCCATATATAAACCCATCATGAAATATCTGCAGTAGATCACTCACTGTTCAGTAAACTGTCTGACAAATATCGCCAAGTTTTGTTGATAATTTGTGGATACTGTGTTCTTATTTGCTAAGGGATCGATCACCAAAACCTCAGAAAATCAAGGCTCAATATGTTGCACAGAAACTGAATTTAACCCTAAGAGATGAAAACAATATAATTTAGGCTGCATCTCCTCTCATGGCCGCTAGAGGAGAAATAAATTCTTCAGAAGAGGATCACTTCATGTTGGTGATGGTCATTTTTAAAAACGGCCAAAATATTAAGGCATGTTTCAAGGATACAGGTTGCCTTATTGACAGGCCCCTCAGTTGCTGCTTCCTTATTCAACTACAGCTGTTCAATTTGTTCCTGCATGAACTCCAGTCGAGCTCAGATGTCAAAACAAACCCAAACACTACAAACGCTCCGTTCTCCCCCAACCAAGAGGCCTGGCTGTTACAGATGTAACTGACATAGAGGACAGTATGGCCTTAGTGTTCACATTAGTACAAAAAAAGACTACACTTAACTGCCTGGAAACACAGCTCAATAAATCAATCATCAATCAATACTGTGTCCATTCCACTTGACAGACAACGCACACAAACATCACTAAACCACATATGTCAAAGCTAGAAGGAGTTCCATAAGTAATGTAAGCTGTGATGCGATCTGCAGTGTTACCATGGCAAGTCAGGCGTTTTGTTTCTCTCTCTCTGCTGTCCTGTCAGTGTTGTATTGCTTTGAACAGATGAGACCCGGAGGTATGAGCTACAACGCTCACCACACCACAGTGGGTCCTGGGAAATAAAACTATGGGAGCAGTAAGATTGTGTCCGGGAGAGTTAGCTTAATGATACCACTCAAAAGTGGTTTTTTTTTTCTCTGTTGAGTTACTATTCACCATATACACGTCTGCCATTTTCCTCTGATGTCAAGCTCAGGGTGGAAAGAACAAATACTTTTATTTTGTTGAACTGCTGAGTTTCCATAAAACAGTAGAGAATCTAACTGAACCTCATCATGTCACTGTTTTGATAAACAGCAACAGTTACAAAAGAGTAAACATTAGCATTCTTAGCTAATAACCCTTTAAAGTTTTACACAGCATAATAGTAAAGGCATAAATCTGAAGAGACATTACTGTTAACTTCAGGAGAGTTTGCACATTCAATTTCTTAATTTGCAAGCTTCGCTAACAATTTGGCCTGTCAAAGAGATGGATAACTAACAGCTCTGTTAGCTAGGAATTTAGGACTTTACTTGATTTAGCTTGTCAAAAAATAATACCGGAAAAGCCTAAAAACAAAGCAAATGATTCAGTTAGCAGAGAGGATTGGGAGTATTCAATTTCAGGCGCAACTTCCAGCTGAAATTTAAGCTAGGAGTCTGTGGAATGACTCCTAGCGGTTGTCCAATGGTAGCTAACCGATTATCAAATTTGAAGTCAAACTTTAAAATATGCCCCAGTTTCCAATTTTTCTAGTTCCACTGTTTTTGAGATTTCTAAATCAGGAACAGTGCATTAAGACGTGATGACAGCATGTTAGCTTCCCACTCGGAGTTTGACCTCACAGGGAAATGGCTGTTTCTTTGAATATGGTCCATAAAAGTGGACAACAGAATGGTCCAGTTTTGAAGCTTTATTTCCACCAGATAACGTTGGGTCCTCCAATGAAATTTGTGATAATGGAAAGCCCACTGAACGTTATAACATTTTGATTTAAAATGTTGATTATGCTTTAATTAACAAAACAAAAAGCTTGATGCTTTGAAACAAACATTGGTGGTTGGAAAACAACTCTATAAAAGAGTTACAGTGAACAGAAAGGAGACTCGTAGAGGTCAGCAAACTTCAGCCCCGGTCAGCAACCCTTTTCAACCATTATGAAGCTTTTAAGTTAAGTTTTAAAACAACTGGCTTAAGTTCAACTTCAAATAAAATGCATAACTTCAATTGTCCAAAAAGGCCTCTGTATTCTGAGGCTGTTCAAAACTTAAGAGGAACAGGTATTAAAAAAAAATACAAATGTAGAGCAGAATTGTTTATCTGTCAAAAGGATAAACATGTGGAACGGTTTTGATAAAGATTAAAAATCTGTTGTTCACAGAGTAAACAAAAGATTATGTATGACAAAATATATATTTTTTAAGGATTGGGACTTGTAGCTGTCTTGTTCTGATTCTCACTTGTTTACTATGAAATGCTTAGAACTTAAGCTTAATTCTCTTTTTGTATGAAATGTTAAAAAAGATGTTTTTGAAGATTCGAATCACATGAAGATTCAGCCGATATCTTTGAGGTCAGTTTAAAACTCCAAAATGTGTTTATTTATACATTTTGAATTCACTGATAACTGCAAACTTTACAGCCATAGAGCGAAAACAAAGATCAGTTTTTAGTTTTCATGAGTGTTAACATTCTTATTAGTGGCTAAGAAAAATAACAGACCCACATTGTATAGTTTCAACTTTGCTGTTGCAACACATAGTTTAGGTAAAAAAAAATGTGATTGAAATGTCCATTTAAAAGCTGGTGATTAAGATCAGAATATGAATTTGCGAGCTAACAAAACATCATCACTGGACCATCCTGTTACCAATACATGACCTTTGACCTTTTTTTATTCACTATTCCGCAGTTGCTGTTGTTTGCCTGTGGAGGGCAGCACAGCTTGCCTGGTCCTGCCAGAGGAACTGGAGCTCGCTGTCCACCTTCAAGAACAACAACTACCAAAAAACAACAACAACAACAACAACATCCAGACATACTGAACATCTGTAAACAAACAGACCATGTGCTTTCTTCCGGTCAATCAGCCAAACCATTAAAACGTCAGACCTCCAAATAGAATATATTCATGAATCCAATCTGGTTGGATAAACACTGTTTACATATGTATATATATATTTATATAGAATATTTTTTTTAACCTTTTTTATACAAAAGAAAGAAAGTATTTTGTGTTTTTTATACATGTAACTATGTACAGATATAGAAAAGTGGCCACAATGAGTCTGCTGTGACGTAACCATGGGCAACAGGACAGAGGACAGTATTTACACCAAACAGGAAATAGTCCAAAAAGTCTAAAAAAAAAAAAGAAAAGAAAAAAGGGACCCACAATCCCCCTCTTAAAGACGTCGGGATCCCATCGGGGTCACTCAACCAAAGTAAAGTGAGGGAGAGGCGTGACAGATGTGGTCGTCTGAAGTGATGCGGTTTACAAATCTCCAACAATGAATACTGCAAAAAACCAGACCGAGTCCTGAGACACGCACCAGATCACATCAAAGTTTGACTGAATATTATCAAGAATTAAATATTAGTATTCTATGGAGATTTTCTTTTAACTTGAAAATGTAAAGATGGCTTCAGAGGCTTCTCCTCACTCTGTGTGGAAACACCTGCTTTGAGTGTTGTAAGATTCAACAATAAATACAATTCTTAGCAGTTTGAATACATTTCTAAATACAAAACTATCTCAGCTCTCATGATTCCTTCTCTTGGTGTCTCTCTCTCAAGGTTCCTAAATAGTGAGATAAGAACAAATTAAGGCATCCAGATGAATAAACAAAGACTCAAAAATGAAACGACAACAGTGTGTGATGTGTTATGTGTGTGTGTGTGTGTGTGTGCGCATCGGTGGGTTTCTTCAGTCCTGATTGGCTGGTTGGTTCACTGAGGTGCTGTGGTGTTTTGTGGTTTCTGATTAGATGGTTTGTTATTTTTTCCTTTTTTCAAAAAGGCACCTAGTTCCTCCGCGTCCTCAGCTCATTTTAAAATAAGTTATTCCTTCTGTGTTAGCCAACCCCAGGGTCGCTCAGCCTGTCTCTCTGCGGGACAGACAAGAAGACAAGACGTCCACTCGGTGTCCGATTCAAATTAGTGTTCTCCACAGTCATCACCCCTCTGCGGAAAAATGGGGGGAGTAGGAATAAAGTCGAAAGAAGAGTGATCAGATGTGGAATAATTCAGTGGTGCTGTGTACAGGAGATAAAGTATACAAGACGTGTCTCCTCTTGGCCCTCTCCTCCTCTGGTTTCCTCAGAGATGCTAACAAGTCGTCCGCTCCTCCTCGGGCCCCGAAGAACCGGCAGAAAGGAGATTTGTCCCATGTTTTTTTCACAGGCCCCGCCTTCTCTGTCTCGCATCCATACTGATCTCCTCAGCCAATCGGAGTCCTCCACATCGGCAGAGTTACAATCTGCGTGTGTGCACCTACACACACTGTGTGCAGGAAGAGGGAAAGGAAGAGGAAGAAGGAAGAGGAGGAGCCACAAAGAGGTGAATGCAGAGTTTTTTTGTGCCGTCCTCCTACAACACAGGCTCTTCCTCCATGGGCTCCTCTGTTGACCTGCGGGCCGTTAAAAAATCAAATATCACATGAAAGAGAACCTTCAAACATTTCCTCACATTTTTTAAAAAGCCTAAAGTCAGCTTCATTTCTATTTTGATCTTAAGCCCAAGCATGGATGATTTATTTCCTACTTATTAGAAGAAAAAAAAAAGGAAACTCTTGCGCTTCAGAAGGTTGGTGCTCCCAGAGAACGACTTAAGACATACATAGGACGGTTATGACCGAACACCACTAATGCTGCTGCTAATCAGCTGCTTGTGCTGGCTTTAAGTCCTTCAGTAGTACCGACCTGCTGGTTTCTGTGATGTCAGGAATCGAGCTCGGCTGGTCCACATCCACACTGAGGGAGGCCATGGCGCTGACGGTTTCAGCCTCGTCTTCTGATTGGCCCCGAGCCTCAGGGGGGCTGTCCAATAGCGAGTGTCCGCTCGTCTGAGACAAACTCTGCAGACAAGGCCAGTGTGTACCTGGAGGAAAGGAGAAGGAAAGAAGAGGAAGTATGGAAACTTTGAGGCTTCTCATCATCCCTGTGTTCAGACTATGAAACGACCCGGCCTTTATTCAGGTCAGGCATCAATACAATGTGTGTGTTTCTTACTCTGGATCTCTATTACTCTCTCCAGGGAGGCGAAAGCTTTCGGACACGGCTTCTCCTGAGGCCACTGAACCATGGAGTCGCTCTGAGGGAGGCAGAGAGCGTTTGTGTTAACAGAAAGCGTGAAATCAAAGAATGTGTTTAGTGTTTGCAGCACCCAGAAAACACAAAGTAGCACTGCAGACTGCTTATTGACCTTTTTACAGATCCAGGCGAGCTATTTCCCCCGTTTTCAGCCAATGTTCTAAGCTAGGCTAACCTGCTGTTGTAGGGTTAGCCTGACTTTGTGATGAAGATGTATTCTGTCTCATCTTCCGGACTGCGAGATATTTTCCCAGTAATCATCTAGCCTGATTCATGTTTGAGAATAAAATACTCTCTCTCTCTCTCACCGGTTCTCCCAGAAGTGCAGAGACACACGCCTCTGAAGCGTCACAGATAGCGGTGAGGTCATGACCCCCCTCTAGTGCCATGACAACGCGTCCCCCCGCCAGACCCATCAGGAGCTGCGTTAGCTGACCGAAACCTGCAGGACACACACCAATCACAGTCAAGAATCCCTGATTAAACTCTTCAGCAATCATGCAGTAACAAGGCATACATAAAATGTGATTTTTTATTTTCTGGTCACGGCGGTGAGCCGTGAAGAACTCACACTTAGCGGAGACGTTGTATCCGCCCAGAGGAGACTGATGACCCTCCACTGCATCGAAGCCTGCAGACACCAGGACCACGTCTGGACTGAACTGCTGAGCGATGGGCATCACCACACTCCTACACACACACACACACACACAAACACACACACAAACACACACACAAACAAAATTAAGTGTTAACAGATAACATTTAAAGGTGGGAGACAACCCTTTTCTGTTTTCTATGGCTGCAAAAAAATGCATGATGACAAAGGACTGAAACATTTGCTACTGTTTTTAATTAAAGAGACGATTTCTGCATTTATCTGAGCCTCTGGATTTATTTGTTGCTGTGGAGCCCAGTCGAATTGATGCCTTGGTATCTCCTCTGACATTTTTTTTAAATTTCCTCCAGTAAATTATCCAGCTCCCAAGAGTCACGTTTGATTCCCGGTGGAGGCATTCACATCAGGCTGGTGTGGCAGCATTATGATAAATGATGAATGCAAATCGGTGTGCATGACTAGCTGACATCATGTGTCTGGCATGACTAAGACATGAAATAAGAAAATAATGTATGCAATCAATAACTTTTTGTAGGTAAAGTCAGGTGATCTGCACACTATTCTGTATCTACTGTCCACTCACAGTTCACCAGCACGTCTCTGTTAAACTTTGTTTTAATAACAACATTTAAAAACTTGATGTGTGATTATGTTTACCTAAAGGCTGTGAGGTACTCCACATCACCCATAGGTGGCTCCACTCCTCCAGTCCAAGCAATGTTCACGTTAAAACCGACACCTGCAGCTGATCCCACCTGAAGCAGGTGAAGCAGAGAGAGAAAGAGAGGGAGAGGGGGGGAGAGAGAGAAAGAGAGAAAGAGAGAGAGAGGGAGAGAGAGAGAAAGAGAGGGAGGGGAGAGAGAGAAAGAGAGAGAGAGAGGGGGGAGAGAGAGAAGAGAGAAAGAGAGAGAGAGAGAGAGAGAGAGAGAGAGAAAGAGAGAGAGAGAGAGGAGAGAGGGGAGAGAGAGAAAGAGAGAGAGAGAGAAGAGAGAGAGAGAGAGAGAGAAGAGAGAGAGAGAGAGAGAGAGAGGGAGAGAGAAAGAGAGAAAGAGAGAAAGAGAGAAAGAGAGAGAGAGAGAGAGAAAGAGAGAGAGAGAGAGAGAGAGAGTCATTATTATCCTGCATCTTCAGCTCACCTGTGTGTCTGTGTCAGGAGAATATAAAATATAGAAACAGGAAACCTTTGCCTAAACCTTCTCTACTCTCTAACGGCCGCAAACCTACTTTCAAACTTTTTTTCTCAGCTATGGATTTTGGCGATATCGATAAGTAAGGGATCGATAAGTAAGGGAATTTAAAATCTGTCTTTTATCACGTTTTACTGAACTGTGCTGTTTCATTCCTCTTTTCAGATTCACATCATATTTCATTCTGCTTTATTACAACATTGTCTTCATAACATCTCTGCAGGTAAACACAGACAGAAGGTGTGTGAGAAAGTGTGTGAACTACAGTCCGTGTTTTTCAGTGTGTGTGTGTGTGTGTGTGTGCGAACCTCCTCAGGAGCTCCGCTGCCGGGGAAGAAGTTCCCGTCGTCGTAGCGATGGAGAGAGATGTAGAGGACGTTGGGGTCACTGTAGAAGGCCTGCTGGGTTCCGTTGCCATGGTGAATGTCCTGCAGCGACGGGTCACAGCGGCACCAGAGAGAGAGAGAGAGGGAGAGAGAGAGAAGGTCAGTTTGATTCAGATGCTGTGATTGGTCAACATTTCATCACAAGCAGTTCCTTCTGCCGGGCGGATGGCTGCCCTTCTGATACATCTCTACAAGAATGATCATTTTGACCATTTGTGTGGCGCTATTCTACTCACCCAGTCCACGATGAGGATCTTCCCAACTCCCAGTTTCTGCTGCAGCAGCTTCGCAGTGATGGCTACTGAGTTAAAGAAACAAAATCCCCTGTTCACACACACACACACACACACACACACACACACACACACACACACACACACACACACACACACAAAAAAAAACACACACACACATAGAAAAAGAGTTACACACTTTGATGTATCACTAAATTAATGATGTTGTAGGAATCAATTTGTGTTTGTACTGACATGGCGGTGGACTCCTCAGCGTGGTGACCAGGCGGACGCACCACCGCAAAGCCGTTCTGAAACACAAAACGAGAAGCGAGTCAGACCACACGTTCAAAGTTTGTCGTCAGAAAGTTGATCACACTGGTGAGTGTTTAATAAAAATGTGTTTTTACTTTGAGCTCTCCTGCAGCCACTCTGAAAGCCAGCTCGATGACCGAGCCGACCGCCATGCGGACTGCGGCCGATGAGTGCATCTCATTCCACACGGTGTCGCTGTCCACCTGCAGGGGGCAGTGTTCAGAGTTAACACAGTTTAACACTCATACGCAGACAGATAGAAGTTAGCAGTGAGACGAGTGAAAACATGGCCTCACCCCTATTCCTCCACAGGGAAGAACGGCGTACATCTTCTGGCTGATTGGACCTGAAACAACCAATCAGAGGAGAGGTTACAGGACTTACAGAGTTCATTACAGAGAGTGTAAGGAGTCATCCTTGGAGTTATGGTTTTAACCCAAATAAAAAGTCACATCAGGGATAAAAGTGAGACTCTTTCAGAGGTTTAGAGATGTCTCCTATCTGGATTGGATTTCTAAGTGAAGTCACAGCTAACATGCTAACAAGTCAGACAGAGATTTAGACCGTTACCCAGCAGCTTCTTGTGGTCCAGCTTGTGTCGATTGAGCGGGCTCGTTCCATACAGCAGAGTGTGAAACTCTGAATGGACCGACTGGATCTCATCCAGAGACGCTTTACGCCCACGAATCCTCTGCTCACACACAGACGGAGAGAGACACTGAGTAAGGAGTGTTACACGAAAGACAAAATAATTTTACAGTCAATATTTGGACATTTAACAGACGCTTGACCTCGACCGAAATGTGATGGCTGATACCTATTGTTCTTATCAATATGCACCCTTTTTATTTTGATGTAAACGCCACACAGAGAGGCTCCTGTCAGACCGGGTTTCAAACCAGGAACCTCCTCGCTGTGAGACAACAGCGTGTGAATGTGTATGAATGGGATTAGTTACTTCTGATGGTCACTTTGAATAGAAACCACTGCCACCAGTGTGTGAATGTGTCGGTGTGACCTGTGGTGTAAAAGCGCTTTGAGTAGACAGAAGACTAGAAAAGTGTTATACAAGCTGAAGTCCATTTACCATTGACCCATAAGGTGTTCCTGTCTTTTCTCTGGATATGCTCCTTCTATGTAACATTGTAAGTCTTTATAATTCCAATGCTGATGAACCACAGAGCGCTAAAGACTGATTTTGCTGTCTGACCTTTATCTGAATAACTAAGTAAGTACAGAAAAGCAGAAGTAATTTCAGTTATAATCACTGTACCTCTACTAATTTTTCTATTTTGAAGCAAAGTGTCGCAGCACACAACAAACAAGATCAAACATCACTGTGTTGTGAGTACAAAGATTGTGTGTGTGTGTGTGTGTGTGTGTGTGTGTGTGTGTGTGTATACCTCGCAGCGGCCCAGCAGGCCCGTCTCCTGCAGCCTGGACCAGATGCTTTGCACTCTCCCAGCATGCTCCGGGTGGATGTGAGCGTTGCCACACACACACTGATGCTTCAACATCAGACTGTCGTACACGAGCCCTGCAGGGAGACACATGAAAATAACAAGATATAATATAAAAAAAGTAGAAAACAGCATTTATACACACTAACCACTAACACTATGAATGGACCTATGGATAAAACTATGAGTTGTAGTTACAGTGCAGCACCACAAGGTGTCAGTAGCAACAAGTGAAATATGTGACAGACAAGCAGGACGTTGATTTCACCACAATCATTCTTGTATAACCTCAGATATGACACACAGTTTGATGGCTATTTATGGTTATGGTGAATCTATTTTACCATCACACGTATATGAAGACATAATGCACGAGGGTTAGATGATATAATCTTTTTTTTTTCACTACATGGATTAAGAAATTTCCATTTATCATGCATCATCGAGCATTGTTGTTTTTGTGTAAAGAGAAACAATGCCAAGCAACAAGCAGGGGGGGCTTGTGGTAGGCGGTCTGACACAGATGATGTCAAATTGTCATTCATTAAAAAAAAAAATCAGATATGCACACACACACATACATACACACACACCAGACACACACACACACACACAAATCTGACCAGTAGTGAAGAGGTGTTTGACGGGATGGACTGTGCCTGCAGGCGAGGACTGTGCTCTTCCCAGGGGTCTGTGGGGCAGCGAAGACTGGAACACGCCCAGGTGCTGCAAGGCCTGATGGGTGAAGAGAGACGGGGTGGGGGTGGGGGGGAGAGAAAGTTATGATTCATTGCAGAAGGATGACTCAGAGATGTATTCATTCACTGCGATGGAGGACAGTGTGTGTGTGTGTGGGTGTATTAAACCTGGCTGAATGCTTAACACTAACACCACTCCTGCCTCATCACACAGAGAAATAACTATGATCTTAAATGTATCACTGAATGAAAAATAAGTTTGTAGAAAGCAGCAACCTCAATGTTAGAAAATGAATCCAATGTGGACGAGCAGAAAACTGCAGTTCCTCAAGTGTCCACTAGAGGCCACAAAAGTTTGTTTATCTCCATTGAAACCCAAATTAAACCATCGGACTGTGACATCCCACAACCACCGCCAACGCCAAGTCACCATCATCGCACTGTGACGTCACAACCACTGCCCGACGCCAAGTCACCACCATCGGACTGTGACATCCCACAACCACCGCCCAACGCCAAGTCACCATCATCGCACTGTGACGTCACAACCACTGCCCGACGCCAAGTCACCACCATCGGACTGTGACGTCCCACAACCACCGCCCGACGCCAAGTCACCACCATCGGACTGTGACGTCCCACAACCACCGCCTGACGCCAAGTCACCACCATCGGACTGTGACGTCCCACAACCACCGCCCGACGCCAAGTCACCACCATCGCATGTGACGTCCCACAACCACCGCCTGACGCCAAGTCACCACCATCGGACTGTGACGTCCCACAACCACCGCCCGACGCCAAGTCACCACCATCGGACTGTGACGTCCCACAACCACCGCCCGACGCCGAGTCACCACCATCGGACTGTGACGTCCCACAACCACCGCCTGACGCCAAGTCACCACCATCGGACTGTGACGTCCCACAACCACCGCCCGACGCCAAGTCACCACCATCGGACTGTGACGTCCCACAACCACCGCCCGACGCCAAGTCACCACCATCGGACTGTGACGTCCCACAACCACCGCCCGACGCCAAGTCACCACCATCGGACTGTGACGTCCCACAACACCCCGCCGCGCCGAGTCACCACCATCGGACTGTGACATCACAACCACCGCCTGACACCAAGTCACCACCATCGGACTGTGTCGTCACAACCACCGCCCGACGCCGAGTCACCACCATCGGACTGTGTCGTCACAACCACCGCCCGACGCCGAGTCACCACCATCGGACTGTGTCGTCACAACCACCGCCTGACGCCAAGTCACCACCATCGGACTGTGTCGTCACAACCACCGCCTGACGCCAAGTCACCACCATCGGACTGTGTCGTCACAACCACCGCCTGACGCCAAGTCACCACCATCGGACTGTGTCGTCACAACCACCGCCTGACGCCAAGTCACCACCATCGGACTGTGTCGTCACAACCACCGCCCGATGCCAAGTCACCACCATCGGACTGTGTCGTCACAACCACCGCCCGACGCCAAGTCACCACCATCGGACTGTGTTGTCACAACCACCGCCCGATGCCAAGTCACCACCATCGGACTGTGTTGTCACAACCACCGCCCGACGCCAAGTCACCACCATCACACTGTGACGTCCCACAACCACCGCCTGACACCAAGTCACCACCATCACACTGTGACGTCCACAACCACCGCCCGACGCCGAGTCACCACCATCGGACTGTGTCGTCACAACCACCGCCTGACGCCCAGCCTCCACCATCGGACTGTGACATCACAACCACTGCCTGACATCCAGCAACCACCAGGGTGTTATGCAGCGAATTGCTTCTGCCTGCTTTTGCTCTATTTTGCTTTTTATTCTACGTACATCAAAGCCTGCTGTTACGTGATTGGTCAATACCAGACTAAAAACGTACTACCCACAGGAACCAGAGCACTGATAAAAATCCAGACCCCTTCGGCACAGATTGTACTTTTTATTTCATGTTGAATTTTCAGACACAGATGAATAAAAGAGTTAAATTTGTAATGAAATCAAAAAGAGATTTTAAAGTGTAAAGAAACGCAAAGTCACAGATGGAGCTTTGAACAATCCTTTCATTGATAAAAAATCAGCTTCGAGCCTTTCATGACGTCAGCAACTTTAACATCTGTGTAAAGTTTAAATGACTGTCCTGAAACTTCACTACACTTATGTGTGTGTGTGTGTGTGTGTGTGTGTGTGTGTGTGTGTGTGTGTGTGTGTGTGTGTGTGTGTGTGTGAGACGGTCGAGTTCCCCTGGACACCTGCGTGGAGGCTCCTTTGTTTCGCCTGCCATCTTTCTTATCTTTGTTCGGTGACATTTGGCGTCCTTCAAATGGCATAGATGTCGTACAGAAAGTATTTCATGCTACATGTTTGTCACAAAGTGTCGCTCGTAGGTGTCGAAAAACTGAAGTGTTGTTTCAAATTCAAATTCAAATCCCACCTTTTCCTGTTACTGCAAAATGTCAAAGCTCTCTTCCGATGACTCATTCGATTCTTTAGTTTGTACCAAAAACAAAAAAAAAACATCCGGATAAATGTTGACTATACATTTTGGATTGGTTCATTTAACCCTTCCCTTCAAAAAACGTTGCAGCGTCCTCAAGAAGAAGAAAACACCGCCCGTCATGAAAACAGGTAAGAGGAGTGTCCCCAATAAACGATAATAATGTAAGAGGAGCGCAAAACAACATATTAAAAATGTTGCCGCTTTTTTAATCCTTCTCTTCTCACTCTCTATTATTTTTTATATATTTGATTTAAGAAGTTCACAGCGGGATAAAAGCAGAAGAAGAAGACAGCAGGGTAATGAGCGAAAGGTAAAAATGTATTTTCTTTGTTTTTGGCTTTATGACTTAGTAACAAATCGTGCATTAATTAACCCATTAACCAATTAGATTCAATCTTTGATCAGCCAATAAAAGTCTTTGACACGACTTCTCACTCGAACAACCAAACAAATCTGTTCAATATTTAGTTCCACGCTGACGTTTCAGGCGAGGTCGCAGGGTCAGGACAATGAAAATAAATTAAAGATACATCTCTAAAGCTCATCGAACAACAATGTGCAGCTTCATCGATTAATTAAGCATTCACCAAAACGAACACTCAACTGTGATAGCATAGCAGCTCAGGATTTCTCAGGATCAAAACAATGATGTGAGGGTGAAAAACACCTGAGGAGACGTCAGGTTTGTACCGAGGTAAGAGGCCAACAGAGAGCGTTGGTGAATCAGATATCTAACACACAGCAACATCTGTAACTGAGCAAACACAGCGAGAAAAGAGCTCCAGGTCTGCTGATGATTCACGCGTGTGATTCATCCCTCTGTGGGATGAAGCAGTGCAAACCAAAAACGTCCTGAGGTTAAGAAGACCCAGACCCCGGGACCTCAGAGCAGATCTTTATTACTGCTATTAAATCTGATGTGATCCCATGTTTAAACTGGATGTTAAGTGCATCACCTAAAAGATCTCTCGTGTTTCAGCTACTTTTTTTCTTATCAGTAAAGTGACACCAAAGCGTATCATAAGTGTGAGGTCGTTCAGAGTTGTGCAAGTACACTCAGAACTTTTCATGCACAAACATAAGAGTGACACGTTCAGTCTCCATCACTTTGAAACACTCACCTGCGAGTAGCTCCCCCTGTCATCCTCGTCTCCCTCCCTCAGCTGGATGATGTCATCGTCCTCTTCCTCCTCGTCCAGCTCGCTCTCCGTGCTCTCCCCTTTCACGTGCACCTCCCCGTGCTCCTCTTCGCCTTTTATGTGTGCGCAAAGTCGCTCGGAGGAGTGCGTGCTGTCGTCAGATCCCTCCTTCTGAAGCCTGATTGGACAGAATGAAAATGACTTTTAGGTTTCTAGTTCATAAAGGTTAAAACAAATGAATCAGTCAGACTGAATTTGCTCACCTGTGTAAGCTCGCCCCTCCGTCGTCCTCCTGCATGTCGTTGGTCTCTGTTAGCTCCTCCTCCGTCTCCTCTGGATGTGTGGGTGGCGGCCTGGGAAGCTCCGTCCCCTTTGATAGCATCTAAACACAACGAGAAGTCGGTATAAGCGAAAGTCTGCACATACAGTGGCGGTGTGTGTGTGTGTGTTTACATGAACGTGTGTACCTTGTAGTGTTTCTCCAGGAAGTGTTGGTGTTGCTGTTGGACCACCAGCTGCTGAAGGGCCTGGGGGGACTGCGGCAAAGGCGCGCTCTGGGTCCGAGCCAACGGCCGATGGCGAGGCAGCTTGTTGACCGACCGCATGCCGCTGGACACGCCTCTTTCTGCCGTAACCAGGGGCGACTGACTGTACATGGGGACTGCAACAGAAAGACAATGAAATGAAAACGATGGACATATATGTGTGTGTGTGTGTGTGTGTGTGTTGTGTGTGTGTGTGTGTGTGTGTGTGTACCTGCTAACATGGCGGTCTGTTGTCTGGCCTGTTCCAGCAGTAACACGTGCTGCAGTAACGAGGAATGTGCGGAATGAGAGCTGGGGGGCGGAGTCTCCACATCATGTCCCACCCCTGCAAAGAAACGTTATTGTTTGTCACTTATTCAACAAACACAATAAAATCAAGAGGCTGTCCGTTATATTTAGAGAATTTCAGGACATTTAACCGGCAATCCCGCCCCCGAACCTCAACCAACGCCTAAACAGACCGAGCACTGACCACCTAACTGCAAATCTCAGCTCACAGGTGTCGCTCCGTTAAGTTGTGACATATAAATATGAGTGATGTTAAACTTACCTGCAGGTAGGGAAGATGTAGAGAGAAACTTCCCCGTCAGAGCTCCGCCCCCTCGCAGTGATTGGATGGCTAGACGCTCGGCCTCTTGCTGGGAGGACAGTTTCTGGGGGGCCTTAAGGGGGAGAGAGAGACATGGCCATATCTGTTCTTAATCTGTGCAAGGGACACTGACAATATGGCCGACATGACAAGAAGAAACCTAATGTTTTTTAAAAAATCTGCGTCGACTCACCGTGATATGTGTGTTCGCAGGGAGTCCCAGGGAGATATTTGGCAAAGACGGCGAGGTGTAGAGATTCAGAGGACTCAATGTCCCATCAGCCCCCAGCGTCTGATGGAGAGACCTCAGCTGCAGAGAGGACGACAGACGACACACATGGAAGAAATTCTCCATTAGATTCAAAATTACAGAGACATTAAGCGATGCACCATCGTAATCATTCTCTGCCAATATTGTTTATAAATAAAGTGTGTGTGTGTGTGTGTGTGTGTGTGTGTGTGTGTGTGTGTGTGTGTGTGTTTACCTCTGTCTGTATGTTGGGGACAGATCCTGTGTTGCCGTTGGCGATGGCTGAATTGGAACTGTTGGGACTGCTGGGACCCGAACCTGGAGCGCTATTACAGAGAGAGGACACTGGGCGAGAGACACAGAGAGAGAGAGAGAGAGAGAATGTGATCAGTCTTCAAGTTCAATAATAAGAGTCACAATTCTCATTTTGTCGTATAACAGCTTGCATCTGTGTGTGTGCGTGTTCATATCCTAAGAAGCGAAAACGAGAGAATAAGATCGAAATAGGCTTTAAAAATTTAGCATTTATGTGTTTTGTTTTTTTCTTGATTTGTGGAAGCAAGCATGCAGAAAAAGTGAAAAACAGCATGCCTGTGTTTGTGTTTTTACCTGATATCTCTATGGCTCTCTTCTTAAAGGTGCTGATAACGGTCCCGTCTTTCCTGCGGAGGAGTGGCGAGCTCCGCCTCTCCGCCACCTTCTGCTTCAACCGTGAACGCACCTTCAGGTTTGGCTCAGAGACTGGGCGAGAAAAAACAGAGAAAGGGAGTGAAAACAGATTTCTTTGGAACCAAGAAATAAAAAAACAGAGATCACTTTTTTGAGGTTTTCATCTCGTCTCATCTCTGTCGCGTAACGACCACGTGCTCTGACTTAGAAAATGTGTAATTTGATTTAAAGCTGCAGTGTTGTGTTGGATGTTTCACACAGGTGACTTAAGGCGTGTGGTGATGTGCCAACAGGAGACTAGCAGGACGTTTCAGGATCGCCAGCTGCCGATTAATCCCACATTGCATTTTTGGCCGGCGAGGTTAGCTCGCTCGATTAGCAGCTTCAGGTTGAGGGCAGACAGCAGGAAGAGGAAAACACATCCAGGTTTTATTGGTTTAAACTGTGAGCTGAATCCAACTGTCCTGAATCCAAATTCTGGAAGTTTGGACAACGCCTGCCCCACCATCACTCTGTGAACCCGGGTCAGACGGAGGCAGCGTCGAGCGAGGAGGACTTGGACTGCTAAGCTCCTTTATTGTTTTTCTTGTTGGAAATTTTTCTGCTGCATTTAAATATCAGCTTATAACTAGCTCAATACTGCATCACAACAACAAAGCTCTTCCTTTGTTTTTTACTCTACGTGGATCATCAGCAGCTTTAGTTTCAAGCTTTCCGTTTTGGACGCCCCTCGGTTTGCCGGATATGAGACGCAGGAAAGCTGGGCTTATTGAGCTGTCAGTCAAGATTTCTGCATCTTGTATGTAAAGTGACACATAAATACAAAGCAGACATGTACACACACACATGCAATGAAATCTCTCCTACCTGTCTTGCGGAGCGGGAAGTCGTCCTTGCCCTCGTAGTTGCCCAGCAGGGGGGGCAGTTTGTAAGAGGGAGGAGTTCCACTCTGCGGAGGAGAGCCTTGCTCCAGGGAGGAGTGCGGTGCCCCCCTGCATAAACAAAAACACAGACACACACGTTGTTAAAGGTCACATCTCCTCCTCCTCTTCTTCAGTGTAAATAAGTCTCAGAGCTCCTCAAAACATGTGTGTGAAGTTTCTTGTTCTAAATCCACTCTGATCCTGTATTTGATCATGTCTATAAACCCCTCTATTTCATGCTCAGAACAGGCTGTTTCTGTGTCTGTAGCTTTAAATATGTAAATGAGCTGTGTCTGACCACGCCCCCTCTCTGGAAGGACTCGGGTGTACTCGGGCTTTCTCGCTCCATGTCCTATTGTTTACAGTGAGAAGGCAGACTCAGAGGGCAGAACAAACACCTAGCTGTGGGAGTGTCACCACAGCTAGGTGAACAGTGATGTCATCGGTGCAGCTCTGTGTGATGATGCTCACCAGCACTTTGGGGAGAAGGAATGGTTCAGTCCACCCGGACCCGGCTCTTTCTTACTGAGGAGGAACTCCTGTAGCTTCAGCTTCACCTCTGTGCTGGCGATGGCACCTGAAGGAACACGATCAGGACAGACAGAGTGCGTTACTGTTTAGTCGACTCGGATCAGAGACGTGTGCATCACAGCTTTTTAAAACTCGCAGTGGAAACGCACTCTCTTTGCCTTTCTCTTTGTTCCTCAGCAGCAGCAGTTGTTGCTCCAGTCGATGTTTCTCCTGCTCCTCGTGTCTTTGCTGCTCCAGTTTCCTCTTCTGCTCGAGCTCCTGCTGACGCTTCGCCGCTAACAGCTCCTGTTGTTGCTAACAAACACAAACACACACAAAGACACACATTTAACAGAGTGACACAAAAACCAGCTGACTCTCATGTATCATCAGTGAAGTGATGTTTGAATTTGGATGTTTGCATTCACTTTTAAATGTATTTTGGTTGTGGTTTTCCATGCAAGTACTAAATTAAGTTTACAAAATAAAATAAAGTTTACAAAATAAAATAAAAAAGATATCCAAGAAAAACTTAAATCAAACTCATGTAAGCAGAAGTAAACTAAACTTGAGTCAAATATCTGAATGTAAATCAAGTAAATAAGCGAATCCCACTGCCAATTTCCATATACTCCACGCACGCCATGGTCCTTCAGTGCCATGCACTACGGTGCCGCTTGCTGCCGCTCTTTTCAATGCTGCTGTTTTCACTGCGGCCCGTCTCTGGAGCAGCGCCACTACGCTCTTCTCTGTTTCAAATATGCTGCAACTAAGTCTAATTTTGAGGGAGCCTGCTGCAAGCATGCGTCAAGCTGAAGAGAGCAGAGCCACCCTGACAGGAAGTCAGAGAGCATCCAGAAGATTTCAAAATAAAACATGTTTGCACATTTTTCCTCATTATTCCTGCGTGATCTTGTAGTTCTCCTGTGATGTGTGTACAGCTGCTCATGGCTGCGCTCCGCTGCGCTCACACTTCAGAAACGGACCAAGGGGGTTAGAGTGCACGTCGTCCGATGGCGCTCACGGAACGCGGCGCTCACGGACTATGTGGAAATAGGCAGTTAAACTAAACTAAAATAAATAAAAATGAACTAATTCAAAGTAAAGGTGAGCAGGTCAAGCATCAAACATCAGATGTTGGTCAGTGGTGAATGTCTCTTTGTGGTGTACCTGCCAGCTCAGGTCCTAAATCTAATCGAGTGAATAATACCTGACAGGCTACCTTCAGGTGTTCCTGCAGCTGGACTTCGTGTTGTCTCGTCAGCACCTCGTGTTTTTTCTGAAACTCTGCAAACAGCAGCTGTTTCTGGAGCTCCTGCTGCTGTTTGAGGAGAACCAGTTCCTGCTGGAGCTGCTGCTCTCTGAGGGCTGTGTCCACGCCGGCTCCCCCAGACAGAGAACCCCCCCTTGGCTCTGTCCGCAGGTCCACTGGGCCCCCCCCTCCTCCTCCTCCTCCTCCTGGACCCCCACCTGGAAAGGAGGAAATGGAGAATGTTACTCATACTGTTAACATCAATGACATGTTGTTCTCTTTTCTCCCATTCTTTAACATGTCTTTGTTTGTTTATTGGAAAGAACGAGTCAGCAACTTCACGTCCTGCAGGAAGTGGCAAGAAGTTTTTTATTTTAGGTTGCAACGACAGTCAGGAACACTAGATCACTCAAGATTACAGAAGCAGATTTGATCTCAAAATAAGCCGTTTTCACAATTACACTCCTGAAAATATATCTAGATAATTTCAGGAGGAGTGCTCTGGAGATTCTCCTGACCTGCGTTCTCACATCAGCTCACTCGGACTTGCTGTGGAAAAAATACTAGGAGTCTGGTCGGAGAAACTCTGGGTGAAGTCTGAGAGAAAGATTTGGCTGTTTGCGTTCACACACACAGCTACTCCTGGAAATATCAGGAAATATAAGGAGTTTTTCAGGAGATTTCTGTAAGTGTGAAAGTAAACGTTTAAAATAAATGTTTTTTAAAGGAGTTTGGATCTAGTATCAAATCTCAAGATGCAGCTTGGTGCATATTCAACCTGTTGGATGTGACGTCACGTCTTCCAGAAAACTCACTTCAATTTGATCTGAACACAACTTTAGGCTGCTCCCCTAAAGGAGATAATAAACACAGTAACTCAAACCCCCCTTTTTTATAACACAACACCCCCCTCAAGGACTCCTAGAGGACTCCCCACTCACCGCCTTCACCACCTCCTCCTCCTCTCTGCTCGCTCACTGTTCCTACGGGGCTCTGCATGCCCGACGGGAGGCTGCTCTTCACCTCCACTACTGCAGGAGAGAGAGAGAGAGAGAGAGAGAGAGAGAGAGAGAGAGAGAGAGAGAGGAGAAAGAGAGAGATAGAAAGAGAGAAAGAGAGAGAGAGAGAGATTGATTAGTCTGGAAAATGTTATCAGACTATTACATCAGTCCCCTACACACACACACACACACACACACACACACACACACACTGAGTTGTAATGATGTTGTGAGGAGTGAGGGACACAGCAACATGCTGCTAAAAATAGCAGCATGCTTAGCATTAGCTTTGCTTTCCATAGCATCCAGATTTTTGAGGTTTTGAGGACGAGTCAAAAAGTTCTTTACAAAAGTCCAAAAAATACTGAAAATTATGAAGACAGGCAACATGAAATATTCAAACCCAATCACCCTCCCCTTTCTCATCAGGTAAAATAAAGTAAGACCACACCCAAAGGTAAATAACCAGAAATGATAATAAACCCATATAAGGAGTGAAACGTGACAAATAATCAACAGAGGTCAAACAGACGCCATGGCTCCTACAGCGTGATTAATGCCCCGTGTCCACCCAGCGGTTTTTTCTGAGCATCAGCGTCTCTTTTTTTTGTGCGGCTGCTCTAAGCGCTCGAGATGAAAAACGTTAAACTTTTCAGAAGGGCTATCTGTTGTTGAGTTTGTGTATTTTAAAGGCCCATCATTGCAGAAAATGGCTGTAGGCTATATCTGATGAGGAAGCCTCCTGGACGTCTCCATCTGGAGGTCTTCAGGGCACGCCCAGCTGGGAGGAGACCCCGGGGTGGACCCGGAGGTCAGCTGGAGGGATTATATATCCTGTCTGGCCTGGGAATCCCGCAGGAGGGGCTGGAAAACGTTGCTGGGGAGAGGGAAGTCTGGGCTGCCTTGTGCTTGCTGCTACTGGATAAGCGGCAGTCAATGGATATAAATACTGTAGTGTGGCATTGGTTTACCTGCTCCTTACTTGTACTCCGTACAGTGAAAAATAGGCAGGAGGACTAAAATAAATTGGAAGACTCCTTGAGTGGAAGTTTGTTTGGGAAGTGTCCAGAACTACAACCATTTAAGAAAAAGGTTGAGAATCTTTAATGAACATCTGACTCTTAATTGTTTGAATTGAATTGTAGTATCATATCTACGTTGTCACGTTGTCCCTAAATCTGCAGGGCGATGAAGTGTCTCTCCAAAAAGATGTTCTTCTAAAAAGCGATGCAGCAGGTTTGACAGGTGACACAGCAGGGCAGCGCATCATCGGTAACTAAGGTTGCTTCAAACTGACTTTTTAAACGTTTTAAAGAAGTTTTTGCAGGTTTGACTGCTCCGTCCGCTCGTCTCTTCCTCACTTCTCTCTCTAAAACCATCGATGGGAGAGGCTGAGACGGGCCCAAGATGCGAGCGACTGAGGGAGAGGAAAAGGACGCATCAGGATTCTTGGACTTTAAAAAGAAATTCCACGAAGTTTAAAGCAAAAATAGAAAGTGCCTAAAAAGACAGGTGGATGTCAGGTGTGTAATTAGCTCTTTGCAGTATCCATGTTTAAGCTAAAGACTCGTCAGCACTCGATTCAGAAGCTCTCTATCAGCTTAGCGGCTCAATCAGCTTACACTGATCACTTGTGTGTGTGTGTGTGTGTGTGTGTGTGTGTGTGAGCGACAGACAGGGAGAGAGAGTGAGCGAGAGAGTGAGTGTGTGTGACGTCATTGGGACTATTTATTCACGTTTCGATTTGCCAAAAAGGAAATACAATTAGGAATTTCCCACCGTGTAGTCTGACCTGTGATCTTTTTATACCGAGCTGCTCTGATTGGTCACCTCCGCCTTTGCGTCACGCGTGCACTAAGATCATCAAACAGCGACTTCCACAATAAGGGCAAGCTCATTAGGCCTGTCCTGCAGGATTGTGACCAATTAGAGGGGGCAAAGGTTTCATCATTTAACGTCTTTACTATCTTTAGTCACAAACTGTCCTCCACTACCCCAAGAAATCTGTTTGAACTCTTTCTAACCCGAACACTTCCCACATTTAGTTGGTTGTTTCTCTCTCTGAATTTTGTCTTTTGAGATTTAATTACATTTCACCATCAGACAAAGTGTCTAATTGAATAGAAATACACCAAATTCAAAATATTTAGAAGAATTTAAATCGATCTAAAAAGTTATAAAATCCATCCTGTTGGTTTTCAGACCCATATTTGGTGTTAAAGTTGAATTTCCACACACACACACACACACACACACACACACACACACACACACACACACACACACACACACACACACACACACACACACACACACACACACACACACACACACACACACACACACACACACACACACACACACACACACACACACACACACACACACACACACACTATCCTTTTAGCTTCCCAGAAGATGTGCACATGAGCAAACATCACATTGCAGGACGTGCGATGCCAATCATGTGACCTGAAGCACGTCATGCTGCCACTTTTCGGTTGTTTGATGCAAACAAAAAATGCTATGTTTCTCATTTTTCATTCAAGAAAGTCTGTCTGATATCGACTTTCAAGAACGGATCGTTGTGCATGCAGAGTCTGTGCGTACCTGCATGTGAAATGTAAACATACAGGAGACACTGCTGCCGTCACAGCCCCCCGACATGACGCTCATTTATAAAATATACTTTATTAATCCCACAAAGAAGCTGCACGGCTGTAGGTTTGATGGTTTGAAACCTTTTTGAGAGCCCACTAAAAAATTAAAAAACTGAGAGCAGAAGAAAACTAAGGCTGTGTTTGTGTGTTTGTGTGTGTGTGTGTGTGTGCGCGCGTGTGTTTGAACATGTGTGAAGCCTCTCACATCTAAATCACCTAAACAAATATTCTGGCATTTCACTGTGACGCATGTGTCTCCCCTTCCTCTACAGCACACACACTGTCCCTGTGTGAGTGTGTTTGAGTGTGTGTGTGTGTGTGTGTGAGAGAGTGAGAGAGAGACCGCCCTGTGAGTGTGAGTGTGTGTGTGTGTGTAACCGTCAGTTTGGCGAGAGAGCAGCATTCCACAGCAGCCAGCGTCTGACGTCAAACTGAAGACATTTATAGTCTGGTAAACACACACACACACACACACACACACACACACACACACACACACACACACTTAAACTAAGGTACAGTCTGACAAAGAGGCGGCCTTTCAATCAATCATAACTGACTCCAGCTCGCTGCACTTTCACAGAAATTCGAGCATCTGCAGTAAAAGAATCAAAGACAGACTGTACATCAGTCTGAGCAGAAACGAGCACAGACTGATGATTATATGACTTTGAATGCATCACGCCACTGCAGAGCACAACTTATAATCACACTGACCTTCTCCACACAGTTGGCTAAAATTGTTGGTGTTAAGATTATGAATGAAGCACTGAGTTAGCGTCCATGTTAGCGCCGATCAGAGTGACTCTAGAAAGCATCCTCCCTCATACTAAGAGCTGTGCACACGTCCATGAATCAGTTAATTATCTGCGCTAATGATTTCATTAACTTCAAACATAGACATTCATTTTAAAAAATGATTATGGAAATCTTTAACTTCTGGTAGACTTGGATTTCCTTGAACGTCATTTCTGTTACTTGAATTCACTTTGGCCTCACTTTGACTCAAGTCAGCTGACCTCGTTTGCTCCTGACTATAGACTGTAAATAGCCTAAGTGACGTCACCCTTCTGATCCTGCAGGGGGGCTTTGGTGTCCCATCAGTGTCGATGGCCATGCTGGAAATGCTGTCTCATCCTAACTTTAAGTTGACCTAACGACCGGCTGAGAGCTGGAGCTGAGAGGGGTTTTAAACCTCTTGACGAGTCGTTACACCGCGCCCACCTGTCAATCATGTCAGCTACACAACTTATTGTGAATAACTCTTATCCTTCATCAAATCAAATCAGATGAGTCATCAAAAAACTGTCTTTTTAACTTTTTAGAATGGGTGTGTATGTGACTTCCTGTGCTTCTGCAGTCAGCCTCTAGTGGACACTCCAGGAACTGCAGGATTTTTTTTGCACTTTCGCATCGGCTTCATTTTTTAACGTTGGATGTTACCGCTTGCTCCTGTTGTTATCTTTTATTTTTATTTTTTAACTGACTCATCTGCATCATGTGTAATGCTGTTCATGGAGTCATATTTCTACTCAGGCTCTCATTGGCTATTGCGATCTAAAACAGTGTCCTGATTGGTCAAATGAGGCGTCCACTGAAAGGTCAGAGTGCATGAACTAGTACAGAGAATACATTAGAAACTTGGAACCACGGCAGACTTTTAGAAGCAATCAGTGGAACTTTATGGATGTAATGTGTTTGGATTAAATATTTTACTGGATTTGGATCTTCGTGGAGGCCCTCGGCGATGCAGCAGGACCGTTTTTGTTGGAATATAACAACCTGAAGAGTTCAGTTGACCTTCAGACGTTAAGAAAAATGGATCAGAAAGACTTGTATGTTTGTTGTTGGTAACAGTAGATAAGAAGGGCGGGGCTCGAAAGAGGGTTATTTCCTGGTGAGGGCGGGGCTTGACAAAGGGTTGATCAGTTGGCCTTAAGAGACGAGGGCATCCTTGGGAAAATGAGTTATGAGACTAAACTACAAAATTCTTCATGTTGTTTGAACATGGGCTAAACCTTCACTTAGACCGACTCAAAGCGCGATCTTAACTAAACTTCTCCTTTGCACCTTTCATTACATTTACCATTAATGGCCAGGCGCTCCGCACAGCGAGAAACAAAGACACGGCTCTAAATGCACACTGCTAATTATGAGGAAGGCGGAGGGGTGTAGTTTGAAATCCTGTTGCTGTTTTAAGAGCTTCTGTTTCATATTCCTGCTGCTGCTGCTGCTGTGAGGTATTTCTGGATCCTGATATATATTCCTCCTTTCTCCCCCCCATCTCTCTCGCTCTCGCTCTCCCCCCATCTTGTTCACTCTGCATTGCTAAAAGAAAATAGGCACTATGACATCAGCCCTGCAAAACACTAAAAAAAAGCCCAGAGAGAGAGAGAGAGAGAGAGAGAGAGAGAGAGAGAGAGGAGAGGAGGGAGGTAAAAATAGTATAATGGCTGTGTGTACTTTAGACAAATTAGAAGCTTAGAGAGAGAAAGAGAAAAAGAGAGAGAGAGAGAGGAGTCACATGTGTAGCGTTGCCATAGAGACCGAGGGTGGGTCAGGAGTATTATGGGCTGGCAGACTGTAGGTCATCCACAGAGGATGCTGTTGGTTGTGCTACAGCAGAGTTTGTGTCTTTGAAAACAACCTGAATCGATCCATCAGACGTGCAGAGCCGACTCTGAGAGCTGCATTAACCCTGATTTTCATTTTTGACTTTTTAAGGCAAATAAAGAATAAATGTGATCCAGAGACGTAAAGTGCAAAAAAAACACTGCAGCAGATGACACATTGCATCTCTCACATTTAACTGCCTGTGAGCCTGTTAAGTCTGAACACAAACTCTTAAATACACGGATCTGGGTTCGTCACAGAGCCGATACTTTAATTGCAGCGGAAAAGAAGATTAGACTGAATCTATGTCCTGCTTGCACCATCTAACAACCTTCTGGCATCCAATCGTGGCATCCAGCCATATTTAAACCTCGCTTTGGCAGCGCCATTGTTCGGCAAATTTCCCCGTAACGAGGCCTCCACGGGTTAAATACTCATGACCGATAAGTGGATTAATGACCTTTAATAAGAATGCAAAGATGAAGAGAGTTTCCTGAGAGTTAAAGTGATGAACACTGAAGGTTCAGCAATGAAAGAGAGTTAAAAAAAGTGTTCCTCAAAGTCTGCAAATGTCCCAAACCAAACATCTCTGTGCTCTTCTAAGTTAACAAGGAGCAGCAGGACGTCATGAGAGCAGGATTTACAGCAGGAGCTCGAGGCACTCGTGTGTCTCATGAGTCGGCTCTGCATCAGGGATGAGACATTCAACATGCACTTTTTATTTCATCAGTAAAGATGTCACTCCAGAACTATTTGAAAATGATTGAATACTTTGTGTCTTTGGGTTTGCAAAATAGTTGTTGCAGGAATATAGCAAGGAACATCTTGATTGGACACTCATAGCCTTATTAAAGCTGTAGAGATTTTGATTTTGTGTCAGTCTGGCGCCCCCCGTGGACAGATCTCTACCTGTTATTTATTTTTTCCATACATGCTAATCCCAAACTGCTTATATTTTACATTCAAATGCATCCCTCACTGTGAGTCTTTGCATTGTAAATGTAAACAAAGGCAGTTTTTTGGCAGCATGTTGTTAAAGGTGGAGTCAGTAGAAATGTTCGCTGCAGCTTATAAACAAAACATTCAAATTAGGCTCCTCCTCCTTGGACTCATGGCAAGAGAAGCGCACAATCACTGCAGCGTTAGCGTGTACGTTTACTGCTTGTACAGCTACTGCTGGCTACCTGAGAATATTACATTTGCTGTCATGGAAAAGCAAAGAATTTAGAAGCTAGCACAAGCTGACCGCCGGTGTTTTGGCGTCTGCCTGTCCGACAGAAAACAGACTAACTTTGCAGCCGTGGGAGAAAACCAACTGAATCTAGTTTTGGAACAAGCTTTACAAGCCTGGTTTGAATAGCATCCTATCTTTGAATTATATCCACTCTTAAACTCACTAATGCTGTCATTGGCTGGAGGAAACACACCAGCAGCTCCCCGCCCAGAAACATCCCGACTAAGTCAACCAAAACATCCAAGTCCAGTCAGAGAGCAGGGTCTCTGCAGACACACCACCACACAGGCAGTATAACTACCATATAAAAAGTTGTCAGTCTTGTTGCTGATGCTCTTTACTGCTCTTGTTTTTCACAGAGACGCATCAGTATTCATTTCAGTCAGTTTCATAACAAGTACAAATACTCCTCACACGAGCTTTAAAACGCCTCTGTAAAGACTTTTTTTTATTTATGAATCAAACAAATGTTTCTTATTCATAAATTGCCAAATCTCATATAGAGCCCGTCTAGACCGCAACCTTTGTAAAAAACAGAACCCAGTATGTCAAGACAACAATCACCGGATTAGTTTGACCCTGAAAAAGAACGATTTCTTTAAGGATGATGAATTAAGGGTTTTTAAATTGAACTGAACCGGAGGAATAATGACTTTAAGTTTAAGTTTGCTGCTCGTGTATCTTAACCTTAATGAACTCATCTCATTGGATGCTCTAGAGGTGATAATTAAAGACTTGGAGGCAGACAGACCTGGCTGTAAATGTTCTGCCTAAAATAAGTCTGCTTGTAGTTTGATTTTGAAAAACATCGGCTGGTTATTTTGTGTCTTTTTTTTAAGTATTAATGTCATTTTTTTTGTACGATATTAGTATAAGAGGCTGCACATCGTCTGTTGGAAACTTTGTGCTGCTTCCTGTCTCGGCACAGGATGCTTCTGATCCCAGCGAGCTTTTCCTGGTTAATTAAAGGTTTAACTGAATAATTGACATATGAGGTTTCAACAACTTCTGCAGCACTTCTGCACACGTTTTAAGGCTTAAAAAACGGTAACACCTTCCTTGCTTCTGTTTGTTTGTATACCTCTGCCATGCATTCTTCATTTCACCTCACATCTTAAGTATCTCCCCCCTCCCCTGTCCCAAACACGCCGTCCATCCTCTATTCCTCTTCAATCAACGCGACCTCTGAGCTTCCACCCACACAAACACAAACACACTTTCCTGTCAGCTTATAAGCACGCACTGGAACTCAGCATGACATTAACCACGACCGGATTCTGTTCACATCACACCATAATCTGCTTTTTTACATTTTGGATTCAGATCTTAAGTATGACCCCCATCGAGCCCCTCTCCCCCGTCCCTCCTCTCGCAGAGATGACTCACCGGCGGTGGGCATGTTGCTGCTGGAGCCCCTGCTGTCACTCAGGAGCTCCAGAGGCTGGTGGTGGCTGTCTGTGCTGGCGGAGGAAAAACACGACTCAGTCTCATAGATGGTCTGCAACATGGCGCACAATCCTGACACGGTAGGATGTAACAGCATGCCAAGACAAGAGGCAGCTCTCTGTTTTGTCACTAAAACAGCCGTCAGTTCCTCTTCCAAGACATTTTTCGTGGCCAAGTTTAGGATTCAATTTGCCAAGGAGCAGGGGGGGAAACAAACACTGATGTGTGCTTTTAAAAATGTTGAATCATGGGAAAAATCATCCTGGCATGTGTGGAAAAATAGTCCCTTCAAAATTGGAAGCTTAAATGCTGTTTTCAGGGTTTTCAAATGTACAAATATCCAGAAGAAGTCCATCAAAAATGCATGAGAGAACTCCTCCGTGCTTCTATTATGTAATCCAACAAAGGTGTCCCGATCAGGGTGCAGATTTTTGCAGGTAAACTCTCAGTTTTTCTTGAGCTTTCACCGTCTCCTGCTCTTCAGTTTGACAGTTAATGACAGTGAAAATATCCTCTTATTCCCTCTCTTGCAGATCCGTCTGTTCGTCTCCAAGATAGGATTAAAGCAGCAAAGAGATGAACAGCTTTAAGAGTCAAATTTGGCAAAAAACTAGGCTGTGCATTGGTTTAAATGCAACTTTCTGGTTTAGTTAGTGTCGTTGATATCACCTGGTGCTGGTCCGTGCAGGACAGCAGCTCAAATGTTGCAGACAGAAAGTTTGTTTCCTCTTGTGTACGAAAACCCCTCTCTGAATCTTCACCAAACAAATTAAGCAAAAGCAGGATCAGAATCTTCTCCGTGCATGTCACTCATAACACTCTGCATTGTCCATAAGATGAGAAAAGATGGAAGGGATCAATTTGGAGCTGCTGCAGCCTCCTCACCACGTCCTGCAGCTCAACAACACATCAAAAAATATTGAGACGAGGAGAAGCCGAATTCCCCTGCTCGGGTGCATCAAAGGCTCCTCATGCTGTTCTCCTCCTTGATGACGAGAGGGAGAGACGAGGAGAGGAGGAGGAGGAGGAAGAGGAGGAGGAGGAGGAGGAGAGGCTAGGACGTAAATAGCTTTGGGAGAGCGCTCCCCGAGGTTCCATGCTTCCAAAATTAGAACGAAGCGCTGAGAGAATGACAGAGAAAAGAGACACAGAGAGGGAGGGAAATGCAAAGGACGGAGGGAGAGGGATGAAAAAAAAAAAAGAAATGTTGAAGAGAGGAAGGCTGTGGAGGAGAAGACGAGTTCGTATCTTCCCAGAAAGAAAAAATGAGCAGCAGGAGATCACATGCTGTCCTCTTCTCCCTCCGCTTGAAAACACACAAATAGAAGCAGGCGGCTGCAGAGTGAAGCTTTGTACAGCGAGCAGAAACAGCTGCTGGTCAGACGGCTAATATTCACTGTCTGAGAGTCCTTGGTGTGTGTGTGTGTGTTTGTGACTGTGTGTGTGAATGAAGGGCTTTAGAGAGAGAGAGCGAGGGAGAGAGAGAGAGAGAGAGAGGACAGAGGGAGGAGGCTGGAAGTGGATCACTGGGTGGAAAAGAAGTTAGACGGATGAAAAGGGAGTGAAACATTTTATTTGACAACATTTGAAGGAAAAAAAGACGAGGAGGAGGAAGAGGAAGAGGAGGAAGAGGACAAGTCCTTCATTGCCCGTTCTCTTCCTTCACCTTCGCTCGCTCCTCTTGCTGCATGCTGCATGTTTCAGGAGTCGGATTGGCCGACTGTTTAAAAGATTAAAGAACAGGCAGTGGGGGAGAGGAGCGAGGAGAAGAGAGGCATTTACTAACACAGTAGATTGGGGGTTGATGGAGGGACTATAGCTGAAAATAGCCTGCCAGGGAGGGGGAGGAGCTACGGATAAAAATAGACGACGGGAAAGAGAGAGAGAGAGAGAGAAAAGAGAGCAGTAAGCCTACATTTCTCGGATGGGGTGGAGGTGGAGAGGAGAGGAGAGGAGGGGGGCGTTCAGTGCTGTCATGTTTCTGCAGCACACAGCCAAGAAATCACCCGTCAATCAAACCGAGTGTGGGCGGGACTCAGACCTCTGCCTTCATGTGTTGTGTTGATGCAGTCTGAGCTTTTTTTAAGGTGGAGATAGTCTGAGTCCTAACCATGGCACCAACTGGACAGATATCTCAGTGACTCTGGGAAAGACTCGGTGATGCTCTGACTCCGGTCTTTCAACACCAGAAGGTCAACGCTTTCACAAATGCTTGATGGATGGCACCAAATTATTTCTAAACTTTCAACTCCTGCAGATGATGAATACTGAATTTGGATGTGATCCTTAATGTTTCATCTATCAAAGGGTGTGTCCAACATTTTTTTTGAATGGGGTCCCCTGATTTGCTCTCATGCAGGTGGGAGGGGGTATCAAAAAATAAAAATATTAACACTTAAATGCCTAAACCGTTGCGTTCAGCCTGCACCACAATCATAGCAACAAATGTTTCATTTTTAGGATAATATCAAATAGTTTGTCAAACAGAGGGCGAGTATAAAAACAAAAAATTGACAAATTTTGGGAAACGATCTCAATGTACTTAAACTGGAGAGCATCAAAAAATATATAACAGCCAACTCCGTTCGAGGCAATAACAAAAACCCATCTACACTCGAGTTCACACGAAGGAGTTAAGCGCAAGACTCGCCGTCCATCCTCTATTCCTCTTCAATCAACGCGACCTCTGAGCTTCCACCCACACAAACACAAACACACTTTCCTGTCAGCTTATAAGCACGCACTGGACAAAATTGTCCTCGGCTCGAACTCCACTCGCCTGTGTCCTGCATTATTGTTAGCATGCTAATGTTAGTGCTCTTAAGTTAGCTCGTAGCTTCACATTGCATGTAAATATACACAGAATTAAACAGCTTTTATACACAATGGGAGGAGCCAGCCGACCTGTCCATGTAAACACGGCTCTGACAACAACACAGCCAGCGGGACTCGAGCTTCTCACTCATTGTAGACAGTCATGACTCAGAGACACATTTACACAGGACAGACTTTCTGCTAAATTTATGTGTAAAATGTTGCACATTATTCCTTTAAAGTGTGAAACCGAGTTTTTAGATAATGCAAAAAAAAGAGTTTAACACAAAGAAATGTAAACAGCTGCTGGTGCTTTGCAGTGAAACACCAACAAATCGCCTTCAGTTAAACAGATGTTTGGTCTTTAGACTCCTCCAGTTTGCTGATCAAACATTAAACAAAACGTCCAAACAACAGGCTACACAACTTTTCTGACCCAAAGCTTCTCCACAAAGTGTTTTTTTTTTTACCAGCAGAATGAGAGGTGTGTGATCGCGAGAAAATGTCACAGAGAATCCCGGGACTGTGTGTTTATATCCAAACGCCGCCCTGCTCACTTCTGTCCCCTTACAGTCGGTGTGGATATGATTAATTGAAACTGCTGGCTTCTATTTTTAGCGCTTGTTTGTTCCAGCTCAGTCGGAGTCAGGTGTTTGGTTTAAGGAGCAGGCTATAGAGTTGTAGCAGGAGTGCGTGGGAAACAATAAACAAAGAATCTGAACAGATTCTAAACGTCTTGAATGGCGGCGCCGCTTTAACGCACTGATTGACGCACTGCGAGTTAAATAACGGACATGATTTAGACTCCTGTGTGTTCATTAGCTCCTCGTCTCTGAGCTGATGACAGTGTCCTTTCCAGAAATGATAATATTTTATTGAATCATCCTATCATCACCTTCATCCCACCTCCTCCTCGTCACCTTCATCGCCCTCATCATCCTCACCTCCTGTGTAAACGGCTCAAGCACATTTAGGGCCGCCTCGCTGTGACTCACAGCTACAGAGACTAAACACACAGAGAGAAGAGAAAAGGTACACACACACACACACACACACACACACACACACACACACACACACACACACACACACACACACACACACACACACACACACACACACACACACACACACACACACACACACACACACACACACACACACACACACACACACACACACACACACACACACACACACACACACACACACACACACACACACGGCTAATTTTGTGATGTTGTGTGTGTTGCTGCTGCAGCTCTTCTATTATCCAGCGCGGTGATTACTTATTTAACGTTTTGTTCTCTTATCTAACGTCATCATTTTAAATCACTTTGGCACAAGAGACGGAGAGGAGGCGACTGACCAGATACCCTGTCTGACATCAGAGTGCTCCCACATACTAAACACATCTGCTCAAGGTGTGTGTGTGTGTGTGTGTGTGTGTACTGCAGTAGCTCAGCCGATGACTCATCTCTGCGTTTCTATTTGAGGCGCATGAACCTCTGGAGTCACACTGCTGTCTGTGTGTCTGTATGTGTGAATGTGTGTGTATGTACTATATCTGTATCCATGACAACCAAATTATAGTCAGTCAGTCAGTCAGTCAGTCGGTCTGAGACAAAGGTGTCAGAAAAATACCTGAGGAGGTCTAACAGGTGTCATGACAATGCGATGCCAGCTTAATTAATCAGCCTTTGATTTATGTTATTATGTTACACAACAGTTAGTTCACACGGAGTAATCTGATTGGACGAGAGGTATTCCATGAGCACTGATAAGCAGTATAACAGCACGGTGGCTTTAACTGTATGACTTCTTGTTAACCAATAAAGCAGACGGTATTTTCTTTTTTAAGGTAGATTTATGGGCTTTTATTGACGAGACAGGAAGTGGATAGAGTCAGAAATCGGGGAGAGGGAGGGAGAGTGGGGAATGACACGCGGGAAAGGCGCCTACTTGGAGATCATTAGCAGCGGTACAGTGCAGCTCTCTTTTTATTTGCAATATTACTTTCTGACAAGAACACCCGTTCAAAAAGGACATACAAATATTTGCGAGCCAGTTTGGGGGTTTGCAGCGCCCCCCCTGTCTCTCTCCATCAAAGCAGTGGGGTGCAGTCTGCAGAGAGAGAGAGGGGGGTCTCCCTCAGGTTAGTTTGCAGCTCCTGAATCGCGCCCCCGTTGTTTTTGCAAACATGTGACAGCCAAAGAATCCAAACCAGGGACTAAGACACAACCACTGCGGCTAGATTCAACTCCAGTCAACCAGTCAGACATTCATTCAGGTGTCCTCAGACCAAACAGTTCCAGGGACTTTTTGAAGAGGAACTATCCACTAGGGAGTTCCCTGAGAACTACACTCCATGGGCACTTCTGCCCATGGTGCTGGGAGAGTACCGACTCTGAAGCAGGAGCTATAAAGGTTCCTCTACACGGGGTACCGTTCATAGTTCCTGCGGTGCAGAATCACTAAAAAGGAGGGAGGGTTCCAACAGTTCCTAGAACTATGAAAAAGTTCCTGCCTACTTTCTGATCTTAGAGATAGACAGAGATGTTGAGAGACTTACCTGAAGTGTGTGATGAATTCATGAACCTGGTACTCCCTCCTCGATCCCTCCTCTGCGTGTGTGTGTGTGTCTGTGTGTGTGTTAAAGTGGGTCCTCGGAGTCAGCCATGTGTCGGAGGACAGTCGGTGGACGGACAGACAAAGGAATCAGAACTTCTCCTTAATCTGAAAAAAAGAAAATAAGAATATTTTAATGTTTAATAATCAGCTGTTTGCTTCGACCAGGACTTTAACTCCTAACGTGGGGTCGGCAAAAAAAACGCTTGGCTATCCAGCCAGTTCACTTCCTGAGCACTGCAGAGGCCCCCTTTAGCAAGGCAGCAGACCCCCACCAGCACAGGGGTGCTCGCTGTGTGCAGCCCCGTCACTCTGACATCTCTCTATCAGTGCATGTCCACAGGACCCTGTTTGTGCATGTGTGTGTGTGTTTACCTTGCAGGATTAATAAATGAAATCTTCTTCTTCTTTTTGCATACTTTAAAACAGACATTTTAATAACACATCACTTAAACGATCTCCAGGTTTTAACCCGTGTGTACAGCTTTTTGAATGTATTGGTTTTGATTTCTGTTTTCTCTCTTTCAGTGTGAAAGCTTCGACTCAAGGCTCAACGAAGTCTGACCTGATCTTATGACTTTTTTAGATCCTGGTTGTTACATTTACTTCACTTTTCATAACCTGTAGCGTTCATCATCATCACCTGCTTTCTTCCTCATCCTCATGTCTCTAGGATCCATGAATGTTTTGTGCTCGAACAGAAACAACTCAGAATTTAGGAATCAGCTGCACCTCCTGCCTGCTGCAGCCTTCTGGTCATGTGGCGCCACCTACTGGTGTATTAAAGTATTGTGTGTGTGTGTGTGTGTGCTTCTCTTGTCATGGTGCATCACTGATCTTATACTTCTCAGTGTTTTCAAAA